GTATGAGAGAATACAAATTAAGTGATTTATTGTATTTTCATGAAATGTTCTGTAACTATGTGTTGGAATATATTCAGTACAACAATATTGCATATTGTATGGTATTCAGTAATGTTTTACAATTTGATTGAAAACTGGAATGATTCTATGGCATATTTTATATACACCTTTTTCTGAAAACTAATGTATTCCAAGTTCATATTGAATACAGTAATTAGATATAATGGATTATTTCTAATAAAGATATTTGGTTAATTATATTTTAAAAATGTAAATATTTATGTCAATATGGCACTGCTGAGGAGTCTCCATACTAGGACGAAACGTCCATTTAGTGCATTCAAGTTTTCCATGATGTTCTACCTTCAATTGACTCATGAAATATGGAATTCAGTTAAGGATCAAGATTTCATGTAAATTCTTTTGAATAATTCAATCAAGTATATTTGATTAAATTCTAATAAATCTTAATTCATAAGTTGATCTCTCGTATTTTTAGTTACTACGTTGGTTACAATACCATTTATAGTAAATTATCTATTCACCGTTTTTGTCTAAAACTGGCACTAACTAAAACATTGGAAATTTAAAGAAAAAATGGAATGAATAGCTGTTAAGTGAAAGTCTTAGATTTCTAGAGAGTCGTCAATCATGTTAAAATTGTTGATCTAGTTTAGTCACTATGATCTTCTTTTATCATTAATTTACAATTGATTGATCATTGGGTGATGATCAATATCATGTATATCTGATCGTTCTTAGTGTAAATCGAATCCTATCGACTAAGTTGCAATGTGGTCATCGGTCTAGGTGATTCAATCATAGACCTAGGTTGGGTATGAATAGCTCAGTGGTAACGTCTCTGATTATGAAGCCTGGGTGACATGGGATGTAATCCGTCAGAAAGTAACAGTTCCCTCAAGATTATAGAGTTATACCTTGCTGATGAGTACTAAGTAGCACGAAATCTAGGTCCAAAGTTTCCTATTGACTACCTCCATTCACTATCATCATCATTCACTTGAAAATTCAATTAATGGGTTTTTAAACTTCAATATACCTTTAATAATAATCATAACATTTTGTTCGATTTATCTAATTGATAAATTTAACTTTCACTCTTCTTTATGTTATCGTTTTACGAACTAGTCCTAGATCTGTGAAATAGATTACTAAATAGACATTTCATACATATTTCAATTATTAGTTATGATTACATGCTAATGTTTAGTATTTTAAAGGGATAACATGTTATAACATTACAACTTAATAAGTAAGTTGAATAATATTAGTAACTGAGAACTTGATTCAAGTCAGTAACTGTGACTAGTTTAACTTCAATAGATTGATAAGAGTTCAAACTCATGACTTAGAGCATCTAACATAATGAAAGCTTTCAATAAAGAATTAAAGAATTAATCAATTTTCATGAGTTCTAAGTTTATTTGAAGTCAAACTACATTGTATACAATGAATGAAGGGGGAAGATTGAATAAGTAGAAATCTACAAAGACAGATAAACTATAATAATATGAAACATGAGAAATATTGTACCTTACTAAGGTATCAAGGAATAAGATTACCTTATAAACAATTTACAGTTCATTCATATCATCATTCGCATACATTTAGATGTGTAATATGATATGACTTATGCATAATCAAACTTAATTCCATCTTGAACTATCATGAAGATTATATAATATAAATTTGAATAAAATAAAGCAATTAAGCCTACTTGTATTGATTGATTTCATGAGAAATGAAGTGTTGAATAGCATACACACTTGTTAAGCTTAACATCATGATCTATTGCTAAGATCATATTGGAAGTTAGAATAATAAATTGTAGAATTAAACTGAAGATATATATACATATATTATGTCATCTCTAAAGTTATTTTTGGCAACTGTCTTTTTGAAAGCTTTAGAACAGTAATCATGGGTATGAATATTAAAAAGATCATTCGGCCAGACTCTAATTTATGGACGAGCCAATCAAAGGCGTTTTAGAGATTTCAAGGTCACGGCGCCAAACTTCAGTGCTTAATGCTAACGTACGATCGGTTCACAGGGTATTTTGTACAAAACGTGATAATTGAGCGGCCATAACAAATAGAACGGCGAGATTATAATTTGTAGACGAATCAATCAAGTATAAGATAATAGATCTCGGATTTTAACGCGAAAGCCTTTCATCCATTCGGCTAAATAAATTTCTGGCATTATAGCTGATGTCAGTTCGTGATGAAAACCCCATATATAATTTCTAACTAAGGCAAATTATGACAACTATTGCGAACTGGATACTAAAAGCACCAATACACTGGTTGCAGCCAGGTACTACAATATATTCGGAAGTTTGGAGAGCATACAGACTCTTACATAAGCTTCATTATGTGCATCGTGTCATTGTTCACAAGTAGCATTCTGTGCACTCGACAACCGGAGTGTACATAAGCAATATTGAAGCTGTGTGGTCGAGGCTGAAAGAGTTGTTGAGTGTTTATCATGGCTCCAGAGGCCAACTATTCTGTAGCCATATGGATGATTTCCTCTACTGCATTTATTAAGATTCTAGAACCTCTGAACCTCTTTCTAACCTTGACAAGTTTTTGAACTACGTCTAAGAAGTGTATTCACTTTATTTCCTTGATTCTGTATAATGTTTTTACTTTATACTGACTGTTTGCTGATTGGTTAACATTTCTCAAGGTGATTTAGGATTCGTGCAAAGGTCGTCCATAAATTAGAGTCTCGCCGATCATTCGCGTAGAAATTCTATTCTTGCCTTAATTGAGAATAATGAATGTGATGAACAAGTTTATATGTTAGTCGTATGCTTGAGTATTATCAATGGGAATTGTAGAATTCGGTTTGTGTCAATCAGTACCAGTATGAGGATTGTGTAGATTGTAGACTGTTATTGCGATTACGAACCGATATTAATTGTGTTATAGTAAGAGACTCCTTAGCTGTTCAGTACTTACTGATTTTCAATGAATGCCTAATTTCAGTTGGTTCATGATCTCAACAAGATTCAACGATCAACATAGATAGTTATCATGTGCTCACTAGCTACTGGTTTTGTGAGGGAATTTCTATTGGTTTAGTGAGAAGCTGTGGCGAGTGAAGTTCAACCATGTCAGGTATGAGGAAGGTACCAGCTGGAGACAATTGAAGATGGTCGCACAATATAAGTGATTAAAGTTGGATATATATGCCATTGAAGTTCTGCTTAGTGGTCTACAAGATAAGCATTTGCGGAGAGATCTAGATAAAAAAATGGTCATGGTTAACTGGAATCTGTATGATAGATAGTTTCATACACTGTTTTACTTTATTCCTCACTGACCCATGTTTCCAGATGATTTCTGAAGGGTCAATCTTGTCAAAGAATGACCAACGGACCTATTTTTACGAAATGAGCTTTATAATTGCCATTCATCATACATTCATAACAGATATAGAGAATGTCTAGTTTTGATAAGCTTATCTTTACAACTGAATAACTAAAGTTTATTTCATTGGTTTTAGTAATTTTAGTAAATGAAAAGCTTAGTAACTAAATAAATGTTGTAGACAGAGGAAACTTCCTTTCTTGAGTTTGTATTTAGGACAGACCTCTTTGAAGTCAGTCTTTCCTCCTTTGATCTATTACTGAGCTTATTTGAGATGGATTTATATCGATAGAGCGAGTACTGTCCAATGTGTCTTGACCTAGTCTGTCAATACACTTTTTAGAGCATTTACCATTGAGATGGCCTCGGTTATCAGGCTGTTTGCACAAGCAGGTGGCTATCCGGACTCAGTAACTAAATAGGTAATGCGATGATGTTTGGAGCGAACGATACTGAGTTGGAGTTCCAGAGTGAACAACAACACTGAGATGCAGGTATATCTAGCTGACGAGTCGCAAATAAAATGAAATGCGTGTCAAACTGGATTCGATTGCTAGCCACCACCATCCATCACAATTGATTGATCACTAGGTGGCGATCAATGTCATGCTTGTCTAGTCCTTATTAGTGCAGATCGAATGCTATCGATCATGTTGCAATGTGGCCACCAGTCTAGGTGACTCGACACTGTGAGCACTATATATTGGGCTAAGATGGTATTTGGAGGTAGTCGACAGGAAACCCTAGACCCGGGTTTCGTGCTACTTGGCACTCGTCAGCAAGGTGTACCTATAATCTTGTGGGAACCACCATCCATCTTTTCTTAAAAAGCTTGTGACTTAAGGCTATATCGAGGCAATCCGAATAGGATGCACACATGCCAGCATGAGAGTGATCATTTGCAGTCCTATACAACAATGGGAAAATACAAGTAAATATTGTATCCTTTCATAAGGTATTTGAAATATACACAAACATCTTATGAATAATACAGCTATATAATACTTTACATATATTGTATTATAAATGTAGCATGACGTATTCATAAAGCTTTCATTATTCTTTTAGACAACTTCATTCACAAAAACGATGAGACTATAGTTTACTGGATGACCTATGAGCAACGCTAAAGTGACTTTAAGAATGTCCACCTTGTTACTAGAGCTAAATACCAGTTATAAACTAGTGTAAGGAATTAAGATTATGATTTTTAGTTGATGGTTTTTATCACGAACTGATATCAGCCAAAATAACAAAACGCAATTAAGCCAAATAGTTAAATGAATATCGTGCCAAAATCCAAGATCTGTTCTCGTAAATCTGATTAGTTCATCCATCAATTATAGTCTTACCGTAGAAAGTTCAAAAAGTAGGAATTATGATAATTTCTTCTTACATATATCATGATAGTTTCTCTTGAAAACTCAGATTGTGACCGATCATTAATGATTAACGGCGTTTCTTTTCTATATTTTACTGGTATGAATACTTTAACCTATTCAACTGAAAGGGATTTATCAAAGGAAATCTTTGTATAACTGTAGATGAATACCCCTCTCCCCCCCCCAAAATGCATTCTTTTTTATTATTTGTTTACAGCATTGGAAATTGATTCAGAAGAGACTGAATTAGCCGCTATTAAAGCTGAAATAATGGCAAATATAGTAATTGAATTAACTAAGAAAGGTTAGTTGTATTTCACTTATCTACTTTCGAAGTAGTTTTAATAATTGATGTTAGAATCATAAATCATAAATAACAGAATCTCTCTGTAAAATATAAGAATCATACATTGATTACTTCATATGTCTGTTGGCATAAGTAGCAAACATCACACTTATTCCCCCTTTAAATCGTTTTTTCTTGTGATAGTTCTACTCGCTGTGCCATTTTCTCTTTTGCCAAAGTCTGTGCTATGTTCTCCGCCAAAATGTGGAGTCCGTCGGCGCGCTGAATTCTGTAGCAATGTCGACTAGCCGGGTTATCTAGACCTGATGTCCGCCCAACAGCCACATGTTTTACTACCCTTCTCTGTTGATAGAAACTGTGACAGCCAATGCCGCTCCTCCAGAACACTCTGTCCGACGTCACTCCCCCGAACTACTGCCTCCTCTCTTAGGCCGCCAACAGCGTCCGAAGAACTACACTCTTTTCGGTTTCCCTTTGGTAGCGTTATAAAATATAACGAACGAACACACAGATGAGGACAACTAATTTATTGTTTAATTCAAAAAAAAATAGAATCTCTTGATAAAATATAAGAATCATACATTGATTACTTCATATGTCTGCCGACATAAGTAGCATATACACTACAACAATTTTGAGTTATTTATACATTATAAATCAAATGTTCACTTCATCATATCTAATGACGAATAGGTAGTTAAAATGTGTGGGGTTAACCATTATGCAACCAGTTATCATTAAAATAATATTAATAGTAATCTTAGTAATAACAAATGTATATTACGAGTACAAAAATTATGTAAAATGATGTAGTGCATAGTACTTTTCTTGATTTTATTCAATATAAGATTTTATGCCTATTCGTGACCTTGTAATATCTGACTCCAGTTGAATTGTACGAATGATTGTTATTGAGTTATAGAAATATACATCCTAGCTACCGTTGTATATAACTTACTTACTTACTTACTTACTCCTGTTACTCCTAATGGAGCATAGGCCGCCGACCAGCATTCTCCAAACCACTCACTCTATCCTGGGCCTTCATTTCCAGTTCTATCCAATCTGTATTCATTTGTTCTCATGTCTGTCTCCATTTCTCGCCGTAATGTGTTCTTTGGTCTTCCTCTTTGCTTTTGGCCTTGAGGATTCCATGTGAGAGCTTGCCTTTTGACACAATTGTGTGCTTTCTTCAATGTGTGTCCTATCCACTTCCAGAGCTTCTTCCTCATTTCTTCCTTCGCTGGGATCTGGTTTGTTCTTTCCCACAGTTGGTTGTTGCTAATAGTGTCCGACCAACGGATCCGAAGTATTTTGCGTAGACAATTGTTAATAAACACCTGTATTTTCTGGATGATGGCTTTTGTAGTTCTCCAGGTTTCTGCCCCATACAGTAGAACTGTCTTGACATTTGTATTGAAACCGTTGTATATAAGCTACGATTTAAATTGAGTTAGTGAATAAAGCAATGAAATAAGTCAAATATAAGAATAGATTTCAAATATATGTATTTCATTCAATCGTTGATCCAGACGAATGATCAAAGAAACATGGTGAAAAATGCGAAGAGAAAAGAGTGAAGTGAAATAATCCGCAGTAGAGAAGGCATGTAAATCAACTCGATTTATAACTAAGCATTAATCGATATTTATAACCGAACAGAAATAAGTTACAAACATGTGATGAGTAAGATACAAAATGCACATACATACACACACACAGACATACATACACTTACATGAAAAAAACAGTTAAAGTTGGTAAGTAAAATAATTAACAAGGTCAAAATACAGCTTGAAATGAATGAATAAATTGGTTTGTCCAGAAACTAGAATAAACACTATGGATTTGGCATAGCAACCAACACTATAGTCTAACATAAATAGTATTTCAATGATAGACGATAACTTCCTACTTTTTTTTAAAAAAAATTGATCTAATGATTCAAATGATGATAGTTTATAGTCAATATGCTCAATGCATATTCATCTTTCTTCTAATCAATTATCATTGAAGATCTATTATATCCTTGTCTAACCAAATGTATTTTTCATGTAATCTACTTATAATTGAACAGGCGTTTATAAATGATTGATTTGTATTGAAATTATAATCTTGATCTACTTAGCAACAAAGATGGATAGTTGTTAACAGTGAGATTGAGAATTTCCATTTCGTTCTATTTAGGATTCATCAGCTGGATGTAACTGCATCTCAGATTTGATGTTCACTCTATGATTCCAACATAAATTCGGAGATTCACGCACATCTAACTGACGTGTCCTAAATAGGATGAAACGTGCGTCAAACTCGATTCTATTGTTAGCCAACACCATCCATCTTTGCTTAAAAAACTTGTGACTGAAGGAAATATCGAGGCCATACCCACAGTATACACATATACCAATAAATGACTGATCAATAACAGTCCTAAGCAACAATGCGAAGATTCAAGTAAACAGTACCAAGTGAAATTTAAACTTCAACTCATTGCACAAATAAGCGACTATCAGGACTTAGTAGCTGAGTGTATAATGCGATGACATTTGGACCGGATGAGTTCGAGTCCTACTACTTACTATAGCTTTGGCAGAGAAAAGTCCTATCTACATCATCTTACCATTCAGAGGTGATTCAAATAGCCTTTTCACTGAAATAAAGGCTTAAATCAGTCATTAACAAGACATATTGTGCAGTGAAGGTTATTATCAAGGAAACAACAAGGTTTGTGCTTCATCGAAAACCTAAAAGAAACGAAAACAGTAGTGTCACATGCCACTGTGTGTATCAATTTAAATGTTTGTGTGTGTGTGGTTACACAGACATAAGGTGGAGGGGTAATCGTGATCTGAAAATGAGGGTGTGTGAACAGGTACCTAAATGATTGCAGAAACAAATAGAGTCATGAAATGAGCCAATAAGAGTAGAGGATAAACATCCATCATCCTCTATTGTCAAACACACTATTGAAACGGGTCAAATGATTGGTCTTAACTTGGCTTTCGGTGGTGTTGTACAAAAGTGTCAAAAGGCGTATACTAAGGTTTATTGAAGCCTTAACCATACGAGAATCCAAACCTCCTCTGTGTATTCAAAAACAGTTTGTTCTCACGTTAACCATAGCCTGGTAATATTAGTGATGAGTTTCCACATTGTCTTTCATATGATCTTGTTTATTATCCTTGTCTTCTCTTAACCTTCATTTCTAGTTTAGTCTAATCTAATCTAATCTAGTCTAGTCTAGTTCTTAACGAGTATATTATGTATGATCAGATTGTTTGAAATTTATTGCACAAATATATTATCAGGTTTCAGTAGATAAGTGGACAACGCGACGATGTTTGAAGTGAGCGGTGCTGAATTGGAGTCCTCGAGTGAACGACAACACTAAGATGCAGGCACATCTAACTGACATGTCCTAAATAGGATGAAACGTGCGTCAAACTGGATTCCATTGCTAGCCACCACCATCCATCTTTGCTTGAGAAGCTTGTGACTTAAGGCTATATCGAGGCAATTCTCACAGGATGCACATATACCAACAAGAGACTGATCAATTGTAGTCCTAAAGAACAATGAGAAGTTTCAAGTAAACCATATGTCCCTATTCCAACGTTGTAGCTGTCTGATTGACTGATACTACTGAATTATATATTGATTCAATATTTATTATTATTAACTATGATTATTTAATTCAGAATCTTAATACTTTCTAGGTTGTCAAGTGAAAGATCCTGAGTATGTACGTTATAATTATGAACATAAAACATTGTAAGTTATTCGTCTTTTATATGTGACTAAATTCATTTCATCTATTTAGTAGTAAAATAAAGATAAGATTACTTTATTGTTTACATAAGATTCATTAACCATAGGGGTTCGTTTACTCTCAATTCTGGACATGTCAAATTCATCATTTCATTTGACAGTAAAATGGTTGATGAAATTATTAGAACCATTACATCAAGAATTGATTAAGCATAGCGTTAAAAGGTGTATTTGAATTTGTAAATACAATAAAAAGATATGAATATGAATGACGAAATCATGTTATCATTAGACATAACATCTTTGTTCACTAAGCTATATGGTTATGTAGAGCTGAAGATCTCATATGAGACTGGAGGTTCTCCATTGATACTGTGGATGGTTCGGCATTGCTTTAGCAAGTTTTGCTGATTGTTCATGGGATCGTGATCGAGCACCGCTGACTAATCCAATGGTTATCTAACTTAGACTAGTTCGTGATCCCGATGGAATATAACAGATCTAGAGTGCGAACGCCTGACCTCTGGACCACTGAGTCGTCATCCATTGGTAAGGTAGATATCTGTCTCTACCCGATACAGATTAGCTCCACTGGTCACGGCTTCTCACCAGAACTCCGAGAATTCCCTCACGAAGCTAGTCACTAGCGAACACATGGTAATTGTCAGTTTAGGGGTTGTGGAGATTGTTAAGTTTTTGATTGAGATCATGAACCGATTGATGTTAGACCACCATTGAAGATCTGGAAGCACTGGACAGACGTTTCGTCCTAATGTGGGACTCCTCAGCAATGCGCAACCACGATCCCACTCGTGGGATTCGAACCCATGGCCTTCAGTCTCGCGCGCGAACGCTTAGACTCTAGACCACTGACTTGGTAGTCATCCAATGGTGTTAATGTCTAACCTCAACCAATCCACGAAATCGAGTCACAATTGTCCCACAATAAGACGAAACGACCGTCCAGTGCTTCCAGTTTTATGCATAACGATCTTTTTTTGTAGACAAGAACACAAATGTGTGCTATATAAACTAATTATCATTTTATAGATGTCAACTATCTATTTATTCCATTCTATTAGTTCACGTAAATTGAAAATAATGGACAGTCAAGTTGTTGAAATACGTCAAGTTCCATGGACTGCCACACCAGCTACAATCGCTCATTATTTCACCGGTCTGAATGTTCTTCCTGGTGGAGTAGCCATTCGATTGACAGATGGACGACGCAGTAACACTGCTATTGTTGCTTTCAATGATTCGAAGAATGCTCAACTTGCATTAGCAAGAAATCAACATCATTTGTGTAGTTCGTTGATGACAGAGATTGCAAATAATACATTGGATGTGCATATTATGTCGTCATCCTCATCAAACAATCATGTCACAGACAACAGTAATCCCACCAATCAAAGCTGTGTTAATAGTCGTAGTGAGTGTTCGACTGATGGTATTCAACAGATTATAAGTGGTTCAATGAAACCGATGTACTTGCAAATCCATCCAGCTTCAGGGAAGGAATTTGTTCAGTGTGCTGGATGTAAGTGAAAATGATGATTAAATTTCCTAGTTTGACTGTTGTTTGACATGTTAATGAGTATGTTGATTGAAGTAGGGATTATGGCCGATTGAGTTTTGAATAAGGTGTTGAGAGGTGATTGTGTGTTTTGAAGAAGTGGCATTGGATTACTGATAGGATGGTTGTTGTAAACAGTTGAGTTAGTAATCATAACGTACTAATTGTTATCATGTTTAATGAATTATAGTGATTATCTAATTGAGATCTGTCTATCACGTAAACTATCTTTTAATAATCAATGTTTTATTTACAAGATTAACCGAGTTATTCTTAGTTAATAGTTATCTATTTAATTAGTTCAAGGTTGATTGAATATGGAATAAGGCCAAACCATTGTAACTATATTATCATTATTATTGAACACGAACTAAATACACGCGTATATCAAGTTTTGTAACACTAATTACATAATAACAACATGTTATATCAAGAGTTTAGATGTTTAATATACCGCGTATAACTTGAGCACTTGGACGCTAGGACCCTCCTAAGACGCAAATGTGAAGAGAGAAGACAAGTGAAAGGAATGTTATTCCAAACAGTATCAATTATTGTACAAAAACTGTCAAGTATTTATAATTCTTAGTGAAAATGAAATCATCATTATAGTTATCCAATCCGCACACAGGGGGTTCTTAGCTATTGTCCAATAGGGAAGCTACACATGGTGATTGTGGAATATTCTTCCAAGGAAGCTGATTGGATGGAATATCTTCGGCTCTTTCTGAGCTTCTTAGAGCTTCCTCGAGTTCACCCGTGGACCGTACTTACACAACACAAATAAGCAAATGATGAGGATATTAGAAAATTTGTATAAAAAGTATTATCTCTATTAAACTATATAAAACGTTATTACTAATGATAAGGATTTCAATTATCTGTAATAGTTTATAATCCTTGAAGTCATTTTGTCATTTCTTCTGAATGAATATTCTGTGAATTCCTTAAACTATATTAACTTCACATTCTTTTTCTTCATACTATAAAACTGCTTCATTAAACGAAGCTTGATGCGGCATCCTTCTTGAAGGCATACTTAAAACGTGATAAAGTTGGTGAGATTGATATGATTGTATATAGTAGGAGGATATTTTGAATATCCTAATGATCAAAATTTTCTCCTTTAGTAATGCATCTACACTCTAATTACTATCTCATGCCTCTATTGTAGCTGTTTTTCGAATACTAGTAAAAATAGCTTTACGAAGGACAATCAGAGAGCGATTTATCCACCAACATATCATCAACAGAACGCACAACGGTCATTTGACTTCAGTTCAAATGATTAATGTTCATGTATCTATGGTGAACTAAAGACATAATCACTAAAATGAAATCTAAAAAAATCCAACTCTGTCTATTTTGAGCTAATTCCTCATAAACTCACCATAATCTATGCAGTGTGATAGCAACCAATATTTTAGATACAATTTATGGCCTATTTATTACCACCAAATTAAATGAATCGGGTGGCGAGACTATAATTTAAGGACAAATCAATCAGATCTGTGATAACAGGTCATTAGATTTCGGCGCGAAATTCATTTACACATTTGGCTAAATAGAGTTTTGGCATTATAGCTGATGTCAGTACATGATGAAAACCTTAAATCTAATTCCTAACCATCAAATGTAAATCATTGTCTTTATTCTTCAAACTATTAAGTGGGTAGACACTCTCAAAGTCACTTTAGCGTCGCTCAAAGGTCGTGCATAAATTATAGTCTCAATATGAAACTTTATCACGATTGAAGTTCATCAATGACTATCTTTGTTCGGTAGATTCACATTTACCGTTCAAGGGATACAGAACAATACACTTGACTTCTTTAATTCAATGGGCCAGATAAGCAGAGTTTAAATGAACTTACTTGAAAATGTCCGTTTCGTATATATTTAAACTAATTCACTGCATCATTGCGCCAGCTATTTTATTTCTGGTGTTTTGACTAAAATAGTAAATAAACTGAATAACCTAATCTAAATTAAAGCCATAATCATAAACAGTTAGTTTTAATAGTTGAATTCATGAGTCAATTAAAGTTAGACTACCATGGAGAACCTGGAAGCAGTGGACGATCGTTTCGTCCTAGTATGAGACATCTCAGATGTGTGTATTCACGATCTCGCTCGCGAGATTCAAATCCAGAGCCTTCAGTCTCCGCGTGAACGCTTAACCCCTAGACCACTGATTCGGTATTCAACGGTATGCAACCGATCACTCCGAAATTGAGCCACTGTCCACTAATTAAGAAATGTGGTTATTAATAAACTTAGAAGAATAGAGAATACTGTTATCAGATTGATTTTATGCTTTCAAAGAGATTATCAAATACAGTGGTTTTTATAATATTTCAGATAAATTCTCTTCATGCATAGACTAATCAGTACTTTAAAACAATTGAAGTACTTGAAAGAGATCTGAATATAGTCAGTCATTAATCAACTTACTGAGCTAAGAAAGCTATTAGTCATGATGTAGTGAACGCGAACACAAATGGGGACAATCGAATGTATTCGAACACAAAATTATAGAACGTCTTAGTAAAATCTCACAACCATACAGTAAATACTTCATTTTCAAAATGTCAATCAATCATTTCAGACTTCATTATTCCTGCATTTGCATAACAATTGCTATCTGTTTCCGTTCTTCCTTCCTCGATCTTCTTGAGCTTCTATTTCTGATTATTGATTATATACTACTTATGTCGATATAAGTAGCACATACCACAATCGATTCAAATCCCTTTGATTTCATCAACGTCTAAACAACTAGATAATCTGGCTTATATCAATATCATACGTTCAACATAAGTTCAAGTGCATTGATCTACTTTAGCTTACCAAAAATTATTTACCATTGTATTTACTACTTAAATATAATGTACATAATCAGTTAAACAAATCTAATATAGATGAGGAATTTTATGAAGCATAATCTAATGAAAATATGTTTCGTAATATTTATTTCGCTTGAAGCTCTTCTAGAGTTACTACCGGTCCCAATCCCAGGTAAAGGAGGAGGGTTGAGCATAAAGTCAACAACCCAATTCCTTAAAAAAATCTTGCTAAAAAAACAACGCCAACTAGATTAAACAAATTAAATCATCTAAACTTTGCCATTCAAAGCAAAGATGGATAGTGGCTAGCAGTGGAATCCAGTGCGACGCGTGTTTTATCCTATTTAGGATTCATCAGCTGGATGTACCTGAATCTCAGAGTTCATGTTCACTCTGGGATTCGAACCCAGTACCATTCGCTTCAAACGCCATCGCGTTATCCACTTAGCTACTGAGTCCTGATAGTCACTTGCTTGTGCAATCGGGGATTGATCAATTTCAGTCGTAAAACATCAATGGGAGGATTCAAGTAAAACAATACCGAGTGATTTGCCCTTCATAGTTCAATGAACAATTATGACGCCTTAAGATGAAAGCCAAGATTCTTTGGAAATCATGTGGCCGATGCTCTTTTCTAACATCCAGAGCAACAATTTTATAGGTACATGGAAAGTAATTAAGTAAGTAAGTAAGTGAGTGAATGAATGAGTAAGTCAGTCAATAAGTAAGTAAGCAAGTCAGTAAGTGAGTAAGTAAGTAAAGTGAGTAAGTAGGTAAGCAAGTAAGTCAGTAAGTAAGTAAGTAATTAAGTAAGTGAGTGGGTTAGTAAATAGGTAAGTAAAGTAAGTAAGTTTTACTTATTCTGTTTGATAAATACTACTATAATTATAAAAAGTAATATTACTTTATATTGAATTATATATCATTATTATATTGTATTATATAGGTGATCAAGAATCTGTTACAAAGTTTTTAAATCAATTAACAAATGGTGAACAAGTTGTAGTACGTGTACGTGGTCTACCCTATACAACATGTAAAAAACAAATTGTAAGTTTTAATAAAACAATTCTATTCATTATTCTAAATAAAGAAGAAAATAGGAAAAGAAAAAGATTGTATAAATGATCGTTTTAAGATGTCTGGTTCATAGGAACCAATGTAAATTGCATTTACTTACTTACTTACTTACACCTATCACTCCTCGTAAAGGAGCATAGGCGGCGGCCATCCACCAGCACTCTGTAATCAACTCTGTCTTGGTCAATTCTTTCCAACTGTTTTCAGTTGTTATTCATCCTCTTCTGATCTGCTTCTATTTCTCAAAGTAATGTATTCTTTAGTCTTCCTCATTTCTGTTTCCCTTGAAGATTCCATGTTAAGGTTTGTCTCATTAGGCAGTTTGATGATTTCTTTCATGTAGTTGGTGATTATTCACTTGACATTCTAATTCAATTGATCACCATATCAAAAATATGTCTAAAAAAGCATAACCATTAAGTTGGACACTTATTTTTCATTCATTTGTATCATTTTATCTGAAATTGTCAACCGTATTAATGTTTATTTCGAATGAATCAATGTATTGACTTAAAGATCTTCACAGTAACTAATTCTATAGTTCTATTGATCAACTCAAAGTTTATCCAAGGTTTTTTCTCTATAGATTGATTGATGAAAGAAAATTGTAGCTATACAGTTTTGAATAACGATTGAAATGAATTCTATCTTGAATTAGCTCTTATACTTTACTGGTGAATGTGTTGTGATAGAAAAGTTCTTTTCTATGAAATGAGTTTATTAATATCATACCCATTCGGATTTTGAATCTGTAGTAACTTTAGAAACATTCTAAATGAAGTTCTAATCAATAGATTGAATAAACTAAATAATTTAATTTCTGATTCAGCAAGATTCTAATTTATGAACGAATCAATCAGATCTAGGATAATAGATCAAGGATTTTGACGTGAAATCCATTCATTCATTTGATGAAATAAAGTTTTGGCATTATACCTAATGTTATTTCATGATGAAAACTGTAAATTGAATTGTTCACACAGGTTTATAATCTTTATTTAGTCTACGTTATTACATTGGGGGGGGGGAACTCTCAAGGTCATTGTGGTATCGCTCCAAGGTCGTTCATCTATTCTAATCTCATTCATTCTTATTCTATAGTCAATTGTTAATTAATTCATTAATATCAGATGGGTTTTTGCGATATTATTAATAATTTTCATGGTTAAGATCATGAGTCCGTTGAAGCTAGACGACCACTATGAAAAACCTGGAAGCACTGGATGGCCGTTTCATTCTATTGAGGTCGTGGATACACATTGCTGAGGAGTCCCACAACAGAACGAAACGACCATCCAGTGCTTCCAGATTTACCATGGTGGTCTAGCTTCATGATCTTAACCATTGAAATCAATTCATTCATTGATTACATAATTATTAGCTATTGTAATACTTTAAACTTAGATTTTTCTTATATTATTTTTCAGCATAATTGATTACGTCGTGTTATGACACATTTAATACAATTCTATACATGTAATTATTAATGATGATAGTAATGATAATATACAACTGACTTTTGGTGAATGGTTTATTTTACTTTTTCGGTATTTTTCTTTCATTGGTATACTTTAGGATTAGTTGTTTTGAAGGTGATCGTATTGTCTTCTTTTTTGTTGTTGTTGTTGTGATCCATTGAATCTGATAGATTGTCATATTTTATAATGTGTGTTTCCACTATACTATGATCATATTGAATATTATGTTTTAATAGACTAATATAAACAAATTGTTTTAAACAATTATCTACCTTAATCTTTAATATACTTTAGAGATTACAATGTTACTCAGGATCTACACATAAAGGAAATGAAATTGAAGTCGTTTTTTGATCATTGAAATGTTAATAAATGATAAACAAAGATGGATAGTAGCTAGCAGTGGAATCCAGTGTGACGCGTGTTTCGTTCTAATTGAGACTCGTCAGCTGAATGTACCTGCATCTCAGAGTAGATGTTCACTCCGGGAGTCGAACTCAGTACCGTTCGCTCCAAACGCCATCGCGTTATTCACTTAGCTACTGAGTCTTGATAGCCATTTGCTTGTGCAATTAGGTGAAGTTTAATTCACTTGGTATTGTTTTACTTGAATCTTCCCATTGATGTTTTACGACTGAAATTGATCAATCCCCGATTGCACAAGCAAGTGACTATCAGGACTCAGTAGCTAAGTGGATAACGCGATGGCGTTTGAAGCGAACGGTACTGAGTTCGAGTCCCAGAGTGAACATGAACTCTGAGATGGAGGTAAATCCAGCTGACGAGTTCCAAACAGGACGAAACACGCGTCCTGCATTTCACTGCTAGTCACTATTCATCTATGCTTATAATGCTCGTTAATTAAGGCAATATCGAGGCATACGCACAGTATGCACATATGCCAATAAGAAACTGATCAATTTCAGTCCAAAAACACCAATGGGAAGATTCAAGTAAAACAATACCAAGTGAATTAATGAATGATGTTATATATTCAATTGTTGAGATGAATTCCAAGAAACATGACAGAACTTTTAGAAGTATTAAAGGAGATGAAGAGTTTCCATCCAATCAGATTATGATGAAGATTTCTAAAATATTAATGTGACATACTGCTACTATTAGATAGTAGTAGCATAACATGCCTTTTTGTGAATGAGTTGAATTATAATATTGTGCAACAAACGCTAATATTTATAAATACCCATGATATTCTGTACATTTTTGACTCTTACCCAGAGATCGCTTCTCTTCTGATTTTGTGACTATCAGGGTTCTATACATTCGAGTGCCATAGTTGTATACTGTATTCTGCCTTAATCAATTAACGAACTGAACATAAACAATGAACTTCGTATAAGTTACATTAATTGATCAATAATCATTTTAGATTTAGACTGATAAACTAAAACAATAAATTTCATAAGAAATTATCGATCAATATCGAAATTCAATTCATCAATGATCTTGTGTAACCCTTTATATTTATTGTCTGAGATAAATACCTGTTTCATAAAACATCCCTTCAAGACTTTCGAATATTCAATGGTGATCAAGTTTAGATTGACTTGTAAATTCAACTGTTGAAAATATTACAATCTTTACAAATCCCTAAAATTGTGAATATCTAATTGAGATCATGAACTGTATGGTGTTAGACAACCATTTAAAATCTGGAAGCATTGAATGGCCAATTCGTCCTATTGTGGAACACTTCAGCAGTGTGAATTCAAGATCCCGCTCGTGAGATTCAAACCTAAGACTTATCAGTCTCGCGCGCAAGCGCTTAACCATTAGATATAATTAAGGAGATCAGATGAACTATTTTTAAGATACTTTAACAACAGAAATAGTTTCAAGACAAAATATAAAAAGATTCGGTGAAGACTATAATTGATGGACAATCTTTGAGTGACGCTAAACTGACCTTGAGAGTGGACACCTACTGATTAAGACTAAATTATGGTTATAAAGCAGTTAGAATTCTCATTAACAGTTGATGATTAAGATTAGGAATTAGATTTAGGGTTTTCATCACGAACTGGCATCAGCTATAATGCCAAAACCCTATTTAGTCAAATGAATGAATGAATTTCCCGCCAAAATTTGAAACCTGTTACCTTATACCTGATTGGTTTGTCCATAAATTATAGTCTCGCCAAAGATTCATAAAATTATTCACTTTATTGAGATTATGAACCAACCTAAGTTTTTAAAAAAAAACCATTGAAAACCTAGAAAGTCTTGGTGGCTATTTATGTCCACTAGACTGAAGGTTCTCGTATCGACTCCAGATTTTGAGGTCATAAATGTGTACTGCTCAAAAGTCTCATATTAGAACAGAATAACCATCTAGGGTTTTCACCTTTATAGTGCTTATCTGAATTAGATCAATTCGTGATTTCACTAGAGTTCACTGATCTTTATAACTACATTAATTAGTATCATTTTACTAGTAACAGAAATCATTTTCAGTATAGGGTTTGTGGAGATTATTAAGTTTTTGATTGAGATCATGAACCGACTGATTTTGGACCACCCTTGGAAACCTGAAAGCAGTGGACGGCCGGTTCGTCCTGTTGTGGGACTCCTCAGCAATGCTCATCCACGACCCCACTCGCGGGATTCGGACCCAGGACCTTCAGTCTCGTGCGCAAAAGCCTACCCTCTGGACCACTGAGTCGGCATTTAACGGCATTAATGCCTGATCTCAACCAATTCGCAAAATTGTGCGATCATCTTCCATTGTACTGACGTAGATATCTGTCTCTACCTGACACGGATGGTCACGGTGATCTAACATCAATCGGTTCATGATCTCAATCAAAAACAAATCATTTTACTTTAGTATTTGCACAATGAAAATAGTAACTAGAAACAATGTAATATAAATAATTTTATTTCGTTTTGTAGTTAGTATATTTAGATCCTTTTTATCTGAATAATGATTAGTAGTCACTGTTGTATGTAATCTGTAATAACCGGCATCAATTGATAATGATCTTAGTTAATTCAATAGATGAGATCATGAGTTCATTGAAGCTAGACCATCATAGAAAACCTGGAAACACTGGACAACCATTTCGTCCTATTGTGAAACTCTTCAGCACTGTACATCTATGATCCTTTAACTTTTGTTTAATCCATATATAATCAATTTGTTTTTGCGACTTTTTACTGTAGAATGTTAATGTATTTGTATAATCTCAACAAAAGAATTTGAAGTAAATCTAACATTTCACCTAGCAATCTGACCCAAACATTTTCACAGAAATATAATTTTTTTCTGGTTAGAGTTTTCTTTAGCGAATTAATTTTCTACGGGATGAAACCCCCAACCCCATGTCTAACCCTCTTCGTTTATCTGGGATTGGGACTGGCAGTAGCCTCAGAGAGGCACCAGGCAAAGTTTTCATGGAAATATACTTCTTCTTTTTTATATCTCACATGAACTCCACACCCAAATACTGTAATGAAACTATTCAATCAAATTTAGACGACAGTTCTTAGTTCATAGTGTAATGTCTAAATTTTTAAGAGTTTTGTTTTCATTTATCTATCTTAACATTATAGTCGATTTTATTCTTTTGAGGTGAGACTATAATTTATGAATGAACCAATCAGATATTAGATAATAGGTCTTGGGTTTTTGGCACAAAAATTCACTTATCCATTTCGTGATGAAAACTTCAAATCTAATACACCTAACCGTAACCATCAACTAATTCCTCACATACTGATTTATAACTTTCATTTAGTCTTAAGTATTAGGTGGAGACATTCACAAGGTCATTTTGGCGTCATTCCAAAGTCGTCGAGAAATTATCATCTCACCTTCTTTTGAATAATACATTTAATGAATGTCATTCATTATTAGACAAATCTGACTTAAATAAGATAGATACTTATAATTATATATGTTTACAATGTGTATTTGTGTTAAACGTACGTACGAAGTTCTACGTTGTTACTGACTGACTGACTGATTGATTGATTTGTGTTAAAATAGCTTCCAAGATCAAGTTATACTCTAATGGTTCAATTGGTTATGACTTTATAGTTTCATTGGTTTATAATAAATTCTTTCTTTTCTTACGATCAGTGAACGATGTCTAGCTGTTATAATGATGGAAATGAAATGATTTTCTGCTTAAGTTCCCTTTATATTCAATCATTATGAAGTTGATTATGCCATTTATTCCAATATCAAGAAAATTATGGTGATATGGTTTTGTAAATGATTTGAATTGTTTATTTTGTTTAGTGTTTTTTGTTTTGTTTTAGCAAAGTTGTTTTTTAAGGGATGAGGTCGCTGATCACATGCTCAACTCTCTTCATTTACCTGAGCTTGGTATCGGTAGTAACCCTAGAAGAGCTACAGACGTAGTTGTTCTACGTTCTACTTTGGAAGAATTGAGAGGAAGAACAAGTGTCGATAGACTGGTAAGAAGTTCATCTCATCAAGATACTAAAGAAAGGAGATTTGAGCAAATGTGAGAACTACGGAAGAATTACACTGCTGTCAGTACTAGGAGACGTTTTCGACAGAGTGATGATGAATTGGGTAAAAGACTCAGTAGATGCCCAACTTCGAAATCAACGGGCTGGATTCCGTAACGATTGGTCGTTCACAGACTGAACTGCGACATTACGGATTATCGTTGAGCAATTAGATGGATGGAACTCGTCACTATACATCAATTTCCTTGACTGAGAGAAAGCAGTTGACAGTGTGGATAGGAGGGCTTTATTTAGACCTCGTCGATACTATGGTATACCTGGGAAAACCGTCAACATCATCCGGAATTCATATGACGGAATAAACTGCGAGGTGTTGTATGGAGGACAGTTGACAGACTCATTGCAAGTGAGGACCGGAGTCAGACAAAACTGCTTAAAATCTTCCTTCCTCTTTCCTTTGATGGTTGACTGGATTATGAAGACCTCGACATCTGAGGAAAGACACGGAATACAATGGATAGCTCGAAATCAGTTAGAAGCTTTGGACTTCGCAGATTAACTGACCCTTCTATCCCGTACACACAAACAAATGCAGATGAAGATAAACAGTGTAGCATCAGCCTCTGCAGCAGTAGGCCTCAATGTACACAAGGGAAGAAGCAAGATCCTCAAATACAACACGGAGAACACCAACCCAACCACACTTGGTGGAGAAACTCTGGAAAAGGTGGAAAGTTTCACTTATCTGAGTGGCATCATCGATGAACAAGGAGGATCTGATGCAGACATGAAGGCTAGAATTGGCAAATCAACGACAGCATTCCTACATATAAAGAATATGTGGAACTCAAAACAACCGTCAACCAATATCAAACTCACAATCTTCAATACGAACGTCAATACGGTTAGTCATATTGTATGGAGCTAAAACTCTGAGAACTACCACAATCATCACCAAGATATTACAAGTATTTATCAGTAATTGTCCACGCAATGTAGTGAATGTCCTTTGGTTGGATACCATCAGCAACGCCCTACCATAGGAGACAACAAACCAACTTCCAGCTGAACAGGAAATTAGGAAAAGACGCTGGAAGTGGATAGGACACACATTGAGAAAATCATCAAAGTGCATCACGAGGCAAGCGCTAAATTGGAATCCCGACGAAAAACGGAGAAGATTAATATCAAAGAGTACATTACGTCGGGAATTTGAAGCAGATATTAGAAGAATGAATAGCAACTGGAAACAAGTGGAAAAGATTGACCAGGACAGATTTGAATCTAGAACTCTAATGAGCGGCCTATGCTCCACCACGAAGGGTAATATGAGTAATTAAGTAATATTTTCGTAAGAGAAAAGCGACCTTCTTTATAGATAAAATCATAATATTGAACTTGCTTGTAAGATCACAGGAATCGTTAATTACATTATGAAATCTAGTGAACCTTGAATGTAACAAGCACCTAGTAAATTATCTTTTAAACATAACCATTCTTATGAACTAGAATCTTAATACTTTAAGCTATCAGTTAAACACAAACTAGGCTCTTAGATTAAATAGAAGGTATTCAATACAGATTACATTTGTAAAATCTTTACTGATTAAGATTAATCTATAATTTACGCAGGAAAAAGTGGATTCTTAATTTGTTTCTTTGCTCATAAAAATTTACCCAAATGTGTATTAAACATACCAGTAGACTAATTTGTCTTGAATTGGTTGATTTCAGTATAAGTGATAGTGTAGTGAACGAGAACACAAATGGGGAGGGGCATTGATTGTATTCGAACACACAGAATATCTCACTAAAATCTGAGGACCATACAGTGAATACTCAATTTGTAAAATGTTAATCAATTGTCTCAAACTGAACTGTTCCTTTTGTAAATATCAGTCAATCGTCTCAGACTTCATTATTCCTACATTTCCATACCAATTGCTTTCTATTCCCTTTCCTTCTCGATCTTCTACTGCCAGACATTCTATTTCTGACTTTCATTATATACTACTCATGTCGATATAAGTAGCACACAACATAGTAGTTTCAATATTCTGATTTCCTACTACTTGATATCATTTGAAATAGTTCTATCAACTTTATTCCCATTAGTTAATGAGTTTTATAAGCTCATACTTATTGATAACAATTTAAGAGATTAACAGCACCAATCTTAAGCAGATTTCATCATGTTTTACCATTTATGTAACTAATCTTTGCTATAAGTATAGATTAAATTCATATCTAATTTGACATTTATTTAGGTTTATAGTATTATAAATAGAATTATCTTGTACTATTATCTTATGTCAATCAAATTAATTAATTTGTTTTATTCGGTTTGAATCTCGCGGAGTGAGATCGTGGATGAGGATTCCCATACTGGAACGAAACAGCTATCCAGTGCTTCCACGTTTTCCATGGTAGTCTAGCATCAATTGACACATGAATTCAACAATTAAACTACTATAATATCCACAACAACCTCTTCTGATACTAATCAGTATTTGCTCACTAGTGACTGGCTTCAAGAGGTATTTCCTCGAGTTCTAGTGAGAAGCCGTGACCAGTAGAATTCAACCGGTTCTGTTGTGAGATAGTAACTCACTGAAGACAATAGTGATGGTGGCGCAACTTCGTGGATTAGTTATTATTATTATTATTAGAAGCTTTATTCAACATTATATTTTTGGTACAACATAGAATTCTCAGCATAAAGTATTTCAACAAGTTTCCTTTTCTTATACCTTGATCTATTGTGACGATAAATTTTGAACGATGACCGGTTAGATGTTAGGAGTTCGGTAATCCACATTTGATTAATGTTCATTCGTTTCAATGCATATTGCCAGCCACCATGATGTCGCTGATTGTACTTTTTTGTATCACGTATAGCGAAAGGTTGTAAACTTTTCATAAATGCGCCTGAATAAATTGTGCGCACAATAGACATAATGATGTGCTAAAACAAACAACAAAACAGATAACTTGATGAAATATCTAGATCGGAGGAACAGGAACAGGTAGCCCAGATATTCAAGCAGGCCGCCAAGTTGTTGAATTCAGACATTAAAACCTTTCGATGCCAGCTTGGTAATTCAGTTGTTAAGCGCTTACGCTTGAGACTGATAGGTCCTGGATTCAAATCGTAGATGTGCACTACTGAAGAGGACTCCTATACTAAGCTGAAACAGCCGTCTAGTGCTTCCAAGTTTTTCATGGTGGTCTAACTTCAATTAACTCATGATCTCAACTATTGAACTTACTATAATATCCAAAAAACCCTTCTCTTACTATCCTATTTTCTTTATGTTTACATTGTTCGTGAATGTGTTTTTTTTTAAAAATAACAACCGAAATACTCAATGGGATGAGGTTTAGCTTTGTTTATATAATTTATGTTGTCTTATGGTGATATAAATCATTCATTCATTCATTCATTCATTCATTCAGTAGTATTAGCAGTAGTATTAGTAGTAAGATTTCAATTTTCTTTATATTTAATATGCTCTATTGTTGTTGTTGTTGTTTTTGTTTATATACAAGATTGAATTATGGTTTTCTATAGGGATAGAATTTATAATTATCATTTATTTATGGTTAAATGTCATTGATCATGTTATCGGTGATTCTATTGTGAAGCTACTGGGTTTTTTAGATACATGATAATAATAGTTCAGATCATGAATTAATTGAAGTTAGATCACCATAAAAAACAACCTGGTGGAAGCATTAGATGATGGTTTCATCCTATTGTGAAGTTCTTCAGTAGTGATTGACTTCAAGAGGTATTTTCCTGGAATTCTAATGAGAAACAATGATCAACTGGAGTTCAACCGAATCTATTGTAAGATAGTAATTCATTGAATATAATAGTGGATATATTACTCAATTTCGTGGATTGGTTAAAGTTTGTTATTACCATCAATGGATGCTAGTTCAATAGTCTAAAGGTTAAGTGTTCATGTATGAGACTGATAGGTCCCAGATTCGAATCTCACAAAGGCAGGATTGTAGATGTGTACTGTTAAAGAGTTTTACACTAAGACGAAACAGTCATCCACTGCTTCCAGGTTCTCTATGATGGTCTACTTTCATTGGATTCATAATCTAAACTATTGAAAAATAATGATTTGGTGATTATAATTTAGATCATGAAACTAATCCAATTGTGTTTTTTATTTATTATTTAAAATGATTGAATAATTTTTCAGGTTGGTGTTAAATCTGGTGGTAAGTACTACTATGATCATGTTAGTGACATAATTAGTTACTAGGTGGACTACATATCAAATTTTAGAAGTGGATGTAAATTTTATTTTACTATTTTTTTTGTTGTTTTTTTTGGGTTTTAGATTGAATTTTTCAATATTGTTCAAGCACCAATTATGTTAAATGAACAAGGAATTTATTTAGTGACTTATCCAGATCAACGACCAACTGGTGATGCATTTATTCTATTTTCTAATGATCATATAGCAACTAAAGCATTAACACGTCATAAAGATTATTTAGGTGATAGATATGTTGAATTATTTAAAGCATCACCATCTGAAATGGTTCAGGTAGTTGTTATGGTTATATATGTATTTTTTTCTATCATAGTTACTAAGTCTTCTATTATATTTGTATTGTAATCTATATCTTTGAATAACTGTCAAAGAACAATCATTATTACTAGTATAGGGGTTGTGGAGATTGTTAAGTTTTTGATTGAGATCATGAACCGATTGATGTTAGACCACTACAAGTGAAAACCTGGAAGCACTGGACGGCCGCTTCGTCCTATTGTGGGACTCATCAGCAGTGCGAATCCACGATCCCGCTCGCGGGATTCGAACCCAGGGCCTTCGGTCTCGCGCGCGAACGCTTAACCAACTGGACCACTGAGCCGGCATCCAATGGTGATAGTTTCTAACTACTAATCAACATGTGCTCACTAGTGACTAGCTTCGTGAGGGAATTCTCAGAGTTCTAGTGAGAAGCCGAAACCGGTGGAGCTAATCCGTATCGGGTAGAGACAGGTATCTACCTCAGTACAACGGAAGTTGGTCGCGCAATTTCGTGAATTGGTTGATGTTAGAAACTATCACCATTGGATGCCGGCTCAGTGGTCCAGTTGGTTAAGCGTTCGCGCGCGAGACCGAAGGCCCTGGGTTCGAATCCCGCGAGCGGGATCGTGGATTCGCACTGCTGATGAGTCCCACAATAGGACGAAGCGGCCGTCCAGTGCTTCCAGGTTTTCACTTGTAGTGGTCTAACATCAATCTGTTCATGATCTCAATCAAAAACTATCATTATTATTGAGTCTTCTTACAAACAAACATTTTTCGAACCAAATTTTCTCTCTATCAATTGTTGTGATAGTTTAAAGTATTTGAATGATTGTACGAACTAGGAATTCCTAAAATAACAAGATTCAAGCCAAAAAGAACTACGAAAGAACAAATGGCTGAGAATGAGGAGAATCAGCTCTCCATATTGAAATACAGCCACTACCAGCGAAGTCCCACTCATTACATCACTGTTGTTTATGAAATTGAGAGGATGAAAAGCGAATGTCCGGCGCTTTAACCAGATTGGTGGATATGGAAGATCCACCTGGAGGAGTTGGAAAACCCTCATTCCAAACCAATGGTGCACACGGGCTCCAAGATCCTAAGAAAGCTAATGGAGTATGAACGAATTATTAGTCTTCGGTTACTATGGGATTGCATCTCCATAAGTTGCTGCACTTCCTTGTAGATTAGACTTTCACGTCGAAGGTTCCGGATATGGCCACTTAAGGAAACCACCTACTTCGGTTTGGGTACCCGGGCAATATCATACACAAAAATCAAGTGACTTATGTGGTGCATCTGTGTTTGGTGCCCCTTTGTGCCAATATTTAAGTGTTCAAATAAATAAATAAATAACTTAGAATTCAAAATCAAGCATTCACCAAGTACAAAGGAATCGTTAGTTCATATAAACACTACAGTTGTATATCTATTCTTTAATTAAAGAGAGAAAAATATCATAGACAATACTCCATTATCAAATATCTTTATAACAAACTAATACAGACTTACCTGATTATTGGATAAACTATTCTGACCTCAGAAAATGGTTTTAGATCATTGATATAGTTTAGTGAAACTTATCTAGTTACTTGACTGGAGTTTGAAAGATCAATCAGTTACAACGTAGGATCAGGCACATACATGCATCGGTCCAAGTTGCCACACCTCATTATCACAGCAAGATAAACACCGAATTCATAGAAGCACTTAGCTCAATGGTGTAATATATAAAGGAAAGATTTTATGTAAGCTCCATTTCCTAGATCAATATAACTGATGGTGTGTTAGCATCTACCATACCACCAGGTTATCATATATAATTGTCTATGTTAAGGATTATAAAATAAAGTTAAAAGTATGAATGAGGATGGTAAGAAGAAATGAGATATAGGGTATGGCATGAGGAAAGTAATATTAAAAATCTTATGTAAGTCCTACCTCATATATTCATCAGCTTAAAACAAACATTATGTGAAAGTGGGTTTAATAGTTTAACCTACTGTTGAAATAATTTACATGAATGGTTATTGGTGATATCGCTTGATATTGGCATTTCAGATATGACAAATTCATCTGTATGAAAAAGTGAAGCATTGTTTGAGTATTTACTTTCTAATGAGCAATTCTCCCTAGAGTAAACTTTCGGATTATGATTACAGAATTTCTGTAGACATTTTTAGACAATGATTCAGATTACTTAACAATCTACAGACCTTAATAAAAACCCCTCTGATCGCTCTATAAGGGAACGATAATATGATGTATGAAGCACACACATACACATCAACTAAGCCGATGTTCCTCCACGAGGAGTAACAAACGTAAGTAAGTAGGTAAGGAAGTAAGATAATTTGGTGAGGAAGTTGTATTGTGCTACCAATCAGATTTGTACTAGTTTACTATGCTTTTTTCTCAGTGGACTATTTACTTTATTTTTATTTTCGACTAGGTTTGTCATAATGTAACACTATTTCAGTGCTCATCATCTGGACAAAAAACACATTCAGCCTTATCGAACATCCAATCTAATGGAATTATAGGTGTACCATTAATAAATGGAGGAACACAAATCAACTGTTCTAACCTAGTCAATTTTGTAAACAATAGTAATAATAACAAGGAAACTTATTTAAGCCCAGTTCTTACACATTTGAAATCGGCTATCAGTACTGGAGCCCTATCAAATGTACAAAATCTATGGAATTCTGGCACAATCCCTTTGGGTTTACCACATAACTTATTAACATCAAGTGGAACAGGATTGAATTCATCTGGCTTAAACGAGAATGTATTATTAAATAATACATTAGGAGGTATATCACCATCTATACCAATGATCTCACCAAACAATACTTCAGTGAATCTTAATCTTTTACCAAATATACCTATTACAAATCCGCTCATACGTGACCTAACTGATCCAACAGATCCTGATTGTCCATTTGCAAGACCAATGCCAATTGGTGGTGCATGTGCTATGGTTCAGTTGAATGAATTGCCCATGGAAACATCCAGGCATGATATTCGATTGTATTTGGGTCCAGCTAATTTTGCAAAGGTTTATCGTATGAGAAGGATGGTAATTATTTTGCATTATTTACTAAATGGTTTTATTTAATAATATGTTTATCTAATGAATCTAGATGAACGAAACCCATTTGTATTCAATATCCCTGATAGGACAATCAGATGAACAGTTCACTCATTTTAGTTCCATCTAAATTGTCGTTAAGTTTATTATGATCCTTAGTTTAAATAATGTACCTGAAGCCATCAGAATAGAGGTTTACAGAAACGAACAAATGTTATTGACATCATAGATCAAGTTAGACATACATTAACATTCAGGAAGTATTCAACGGACGTTTTGTCCTAGCATGGAACTCATTGACAGTGTGTACACACGTATTCACCAGGGATCGAACTCTGGACCTTCAGTCTTGTATGTGAGTACTCAATCTTTAAACCAGTGAGCAGAAATCTAACAATATGAGTGTTTAACTCCAGTTAACTGACTACATTGAGTGACCATCTTTCATTGTCTTCAGCATGTGTATTCGTTACACCCAACACGTTTGAACTGGTTTCCAATAGATGCCTAACTTGAAATGGATTGTGATATCAATAGTACCTAACGTTTTAAGTCCAGACTTTGGTATTTTAAACAACATAAACTGAAGATAAATCTAATATTAAGAGTCAGTAAAAGAAAATTAATAATGATGTTGTCTTTTTAATTATTTACAATTGAAATGATATTGTAGTGAATGAGAACTTAAGTAGGGATAATCGAATGTATTTGAACATACAAATTACATAATCTCTTGGTAAAATCTGAGAACTATACAGTGAAGACTTACGCTTGTTGCTCCTAATGGAGCATAGGTCGCCGACCAGCATTCTCCAACCCATCCACTCTATCCTAGACCTTTCTTTCTAGTTCCATTCAATTCTTGTTTATTTTTCTCATGTCTATCTCCATTTCCCGGCTTAATGTGTTCTTTGGTATTCCTCTTTTCCTTTCACCTTGAGGATTCCATGTGAGGGATTGTCTTGTGACGCAGTTGGGTGCTTTCCTCAATGTGTATCCTATCCACTCCCAGCGCTTCTTCCTGATTTCCTCCTCCACTGGAATCTGGTTTGTTCTCTCCCACAGTACGTTGTTGCTAATAGTGTCCGACCAACGGATCCGAAGTATTTTGCGTAGACAACTGTTAATAAACACCTGTATTTTCTGGATAATGGCTTTCGTAGTTCTCCAGGTTTCCGCCTCATACAGTAGAACTGTCTTGACATTTGTGTTGAAAATCCTGACTTCGGTGTTGGTTGACAGTTGCTTTGAGTTCCAGATGTTCCTCAGTTGTGAATATGCTGCTCTTGCTTTGCCGATGCGCGCCTTCACATCTGCATCAGATCCATCATGTTCATCAATGATGCTGCCCACATATATAAAGGTTTTTACATCTTCCAAATTTTCTCCGTCAATTGTAATTGGAATGGTGCATGCTGTGTTGCATCGGACAATCTTGCTTTTCCTTTTGTGTATATTGAAGTAAAGATGTATGGTGGCTAGCAATGGAATCCAGGAAGCACGTTTTGTCTTATTTAGGACTCGTCAGTTGGATGTACCTGCATCTCAGAGTTGATGTTCACTTTGGGACTTGAGCTCAATGAATATCAACTCTGGGATGCAGGTATATCCAACTGACCAGCCGCAAATAGGATGAAATGCGCGTCTTAGATTCCACTGTTAGCCACCATCCAACCTATGTAGTATTTAAAATAAAAGTAGACAAACTCAGCTAAGTGCATAGAGATCCTCAACTTAACCGATGTGCTTACTATAACAGTGTTTGCTAATTGAAATAGAATAAAACTAAAGAAATTACTACAGTAAATGCGAAAAAATGATACAGTGCCCATATTCATGAAGTGCATATTGTTGATTATTAACAATGGCATTAAAACACAACTTTTTATGCTTAAAGAATTCAGCGTTTTGACAATAGTTTCCGTCAGTCAGTCAGCTATAACGCAGGACCAGGTACATATATGCATCGGTTCAAGTTGCTTCAGTGCCCAAGGGACAGTTGCTTGAAGTCGATCACACACAACCGTTTTCTGAGTAATTTTCGTGTTAACTCCGTACTTATTGTAACCTTACCGTCGAATACGGCAATCCGTAGGATAAGGTGAGATATGCATTTTTATGGTCGACATTTTTAACCCCCTCTGCTTGTGAGAAGGCAACATCGCTGTTATACCGATTGTTTGAAGGAAACACTCAACTGCTATCAAACTTCTTTACAGTCACCAGTACAACTTCGCCTTCGAACTTCGAGTTTGCTACGCTCTTAGTCTTACCGCTCTTCAACTGACATGTCTGATATGGTAGGACTTTGGGAATCGAATATTTCACTCAATATAGCTCTATTATTTTATCACGATAGGCATACTCGACCGACCGAGAGATGATAGCAACCGGTGGTTAGAGGCCTTGAATGACATGGCTCAAAATCGTTTGCGATGGCGCAGGTGCATCCACTCCTTTGTGTTCCCCCAAATTCTAATCTTCCGAATTCTTCATGTCCCTTCTTTTTTCTCTTTCCAAATTGATTCCACTGGATTATACTTTTTGAATAACGTCTTCAAACTCTAATCTTTCCGATTGCTGCTCAAACTCTTACTACCTCTACCACTACGGAATTTGAATCGACAACTGTATCTCTGTGCTAATATGGTGTAGCAACTCGAATTAATGTACGTACGTACGAAGTTCTACGTTGTTACTGACTGATTGACTAACACCCGACCACTACATCAAGGTAGCAACAACAACAACGGTCAATAGTTTCTAACATTGATAACAGAATATTCAATGTTTTGAGAAACTAACAGTCGCAGTATGGATAATTCTCTTTGTTTTTTTGATTTTTCAAGGAAACTATTCCAAACAACACCACCAACACTAACAACAACAACAACACCACCACCACCACCACCAACAACAACAATAATAATCATACATCATCATGGTTATTATCATTAAAGAATATAACTGAAGCTATTCAATTTATTCATGATTTAATTAGTAGACCATTTACTATTACTACATTATATAGAAGTAATCAACAATTTAAAGAATTATCCAATATTCCAACATTTGCGTTATATAATATTGATAATAATGGTAAATTATCAATTATTGATTTATCAAATATAACATATAATATACCGATACATAGAATCCATATGGGATCATTATTAAAATGGAATAGATCAAATCATTCCAATTACAATTGGTCAAGATCAACAATAAAATATCCGATTAAAACAAAAATGGATGATCAACATATATTCAATGGTAAGTTATTGAGAAATGACATAGTTAAATAATCATTGCGATATATATATATATTGTGGTGTCAGTCAATCAGTCTCGTGTGCTGCTACGAGTATGAGGGCTGATGTCATTTCCCGGCTGCCCACATCGTGGAAGGGTATTTCTTGAGGAACCTGAAACAAAAGTTGGATTAGTGTTGACCTTAACGACCTGGGAACGTGACCGCGGAGCCCAAGGGACAACTGCTTGAGGCCGGTCTTTTTGTGGGAGATTTTTGACGTGTTAGCCCCGTTCTTTAAAGGGCTTCAGTGGCGGAGACGGAAATCTGTGAGGTAATGTGAGGTGTGACATTTTTAGGGTCGACCTTTTCTAATCCCTTCATTTCTTTTGAGAAGGCAGCATCGCTGCAGATGCTGGTTGTCTGAGGGAAACACCTTACGGCTGTCACACTCCTCTACAGTCAGCAGTACGACTTCGCCGTCAGACCTTGAGCCGCTGTTTTTGGTCTTACCGTTCTCCAATCGACCTGCCTGGTATTGTAGAAGCTACAGGAACATATATTCCAGCCAATATAGCTCGGTTGGATCATCACGATAGGCAAGCCCGACCACCGCTTCAAGGTAGCAGCTACGGTCGGGATATTGTGATGTAAACTACTTATATCTGTTGTCATCAGTAGTATATTATGATAATCAGTTATAGAATGTATTTTAGTAAAAGACTAAAAAGGAATAAAAAGCGGGAATGGAAAGCAATCGATATGCAAATACAGGAACAATAAAATCTGAGACGATGGACTTATATTTACAAAAGGAATAGTCAAATTTGAGACAATTGGTTGATATTTTGCAAATCAAGTATTTGCTGTATGGTTCTCAGATTTCAGTAAGATGTGCTGTAATTTTATGTTTAAATAAGTCCGATTGTCTCCACTCGTGTTTGTGCTCAATACAATAACATTCTTTAGTATATATGTATACCCTTATACGTGCATTGGTTTGTTTATGAGAAGGTTATTTAGTGAGTGAAAGCAAAAGATAGATCTATAGAGTTGTTTTTGTCTTAAAGTCATATTTATGAAATGAATTGTAATCTTAGAAGAAATAAATATCATCGATTTATAGAAAGAAGGGTTTAAGTTTTGCAGTTGTTAATATTCAAGACCTGGATCTCACAGTGAGACTTGAATCTAGTATATTTAGCTCCATACTCCAAGGTATTAGGGATGCTACCCCTAACTCAGGGTCTGAAAAGTCGGAAAAATGAAAATTTCGCCAATGCGATAAAAATGATCTTGGTGGTCTGGTAATAGTATTCCGACACCAGACAATTGGTTTTAAGCGTTATTTCAGGCCTAACGCTTCAGGCTGGGCTATTTCGTTTACTACCCTATATATGTGTTGTATACAGTATAAGCTATATGGCTATGTAGAGCTGAAGGTCTCGTATGAGACTGGAGGTTCATCATTGATATTGCGGATGGTTCGGCATTGCTTTGGCAGGTTTTTCTGATTGTTCATGCACAAAATTCGTTTGCTGGTTAACTGATTTCATTCATACTGGTAGTTGCTTTTCAGTGTTCTCAAGGTCCATTGTGATTGGGACATTGTAAGTTATGTCGCTATTGCTAACATCAATGAGTTTGACTATCGTGTGAGCGGAATAGGTGAACTTTGGTCTGTTCGTGCTGTGTATAATTGATTCATGCGATCATTGGTCGTAATAACTATACATGTGATGTGAATGTGTATAAGAATGTTGCGAATGTTCCACCAATGTGCTTATTACCTGTGTGGTTGTGCGACAGGATTGAACTGTATTATTCGGATTGTAGCGTTGAAGCCAATATTGTGTCTGGTTCTCCTGTGGAGCGGGATTGAGCTGTACTGTTCGAGTTGTCACGTGAAAGTCTGTATGGTTTGGTGTCTGGTTCTCCTGAAAACCAATGTAAAATTACCCTGACCAACAAGGGTATTTTATATAAACGATACCTTCAGGGCATTAGTTACTGATCTAGCGAGTACATATTTACTGAACGAGAACACGAAATCGGGACAATCGAATGTATGGTATGAATATTTGGTAACTAGATTATGTATATTTATATTCCTCTTATTATAAGCCTTATTTTGACCTATAATTTATTATTGTACGATTTACGGTTCTTAAACTAGGTTCAGTTTATTGACTACTGCCTCCCACGTTCACAGACACTTTTTGGCTTGTTTGTGTATAAATGTTATTTCCTATTTTATGGTGCGTTGTGGTCTGTTTGGTTTATACATAAACCCAGTATGTCTGAAATAAATGCTTCGATTCGATTCGCATATTGGAAGCTGGTATTGGTGTTCTGGACTGTAGTGGACGGGCTAAGCGGATATAGGACCAATAAAGACGCTAGGCTGCCCATACCGGTCGAACGTCATTGGTTTGGCACAGTGCTGAGATTGTATAATTCGTATTTTGGTTGGTGGATAAATCACGTGATAAAAAGCCGGACATAAAGTCATAACACTGGACAGTTAGGATTAGACATTAACTCTATTAGGTGCCCGCTTAATTGTCTATAGGTTAAGCGTTCGCATGATAAACCAATAGGTCCTGTGTTCAAATCCCATGAAAAGAGGGATCATGGATATACACTGTTGAGGAATCCCATAACAAGACGAAACAGTCAACAGATCTTTTCAGATTTTCTATAATAATCTAGAACTTCAATTCATTCATGAATTCAATTACTAAATAATTATGAGTCAATTGAAGCTAGACCACCATGGAAAACCTGGAAGCACTGAACGGCCGTTTCGTCCTAGTATGGGACGCCTCAGCAGTGCGCATCCACGATCCCGCCCCTCGCGAGATCCGAACCCAAGACCTATCAGTTTTGCGCCAGGCGCTTAACCAACTAGACCACTGAACCGGCATCCAACAGTGTTAATGTCTAACTTCAACCAATCCACGAAGTTGCGCCACCGTACACCATTGTCTCCAATGAGCTGATATCTCACAACAGACCTGGTTGAACTCCTTTGGTAACGACTTCTCACTAGAACCCCAGGAGTGTCTCCTGAAGTCAGTCACTAGTGAGGTGATTATTATTATAATTATTATTATTATCAAAGCTGAAGTATCATTTATTTTTATCTGATTTCATTTCAGCAATCACTTCACCAATTCAATTATCAGATACAAATTTACCTATCAAATATACATCTTCATTCATAAAAAATTATAATATAAATAATTATATTCATTCAATCTCTAGTCTTAATCTTTCTCCAACAATAGTTACCAACCATGATTATGAAAGTTTATTGATTCCTTCATCCAATTCCATATTATCTAACAATGTAGATCATTCAAATGTTTTATTAGATTATAAAACTTTATCTCATTTAAATACTCAATCAAGATATAATTTGCCAAATCTTACAGCATCAATGGTTATGTTAACAGGTTTACCAATTGATGTAACACAAGAAGAACTTGAATCATTATTTAAACCTGTTAAAAATCTATTGACGGTTAGTTCCTGTGAATTGACTTTACCTTTATGTTTACTGTAAATTTATTATTGAATGTTTTTTTTCAATGGTTAAGATCATGAATCAGTTGAAGCTAGACCACCATGGAAAATCTGGAAGCACTGGACGACCGTTTCGTCCCAGTGTGGGACTTCTCGTCAGTGCGCATCCACGACCTCGCCCCCTGCTAGATTCGAACCCAGAATCTAATGGCTTCACGCGCGAGCACTTAACCTCTACACCACTGAGTTGGCATCCCGACGATTTCAATATCTAACTTCAACTAATCCACGAAAATGAGCGACACATCTACCATTGTCATCAGTGAGTTATTATCTCACAACAGACCTTGTTGAACTCCACTGATCACTGCTTCTCATTAGAACTCCATGAAATATCTCTTGAAGCCAGTCGCTAGTGAGCATATGTTGATTCATATCAGATGGGTTTTGTGGATATTATAGTAATTTCAATGGTTAAGATCATGAGTTTTTTTTTATTAGAAAGTATAAGTTCTCCTGGATCATTCAACTTGCATAGTATGTACCTTCATGAAGGTCATATCGAATTTCATAGAATTTATCTATTAAAAAATCATTTGTCTACAATACCAGTGAAGGTTAAGATACTCTAATATTCAATAAAAACTGAATCAACAGTTAGATAATACAAAATGACTTAGTATATAATTATGAAATATGTCTATTGAAGGTGGAATATTGAATGCAATGTGTTAAATAGCATACAATTCTTTTATATTATGAAGTTATAAAGTAGTTGTCACTATTGATTAGTTTTCATATCACTGAGAAATTCACATGGGTATTGTTTCCTTGTGTCTTCCTATTGTTGATTTTTAGGACTACAGTTGATCAGTCTCATGTTGACATATATGCATTCTATGCGGATCGCCATAAGTCACAAGTTTTATAAGCAAAGATGGATGGTAGTTAACCATTGAATTGGGGACGTGCGTTTCGTCCTATTTGGAACTCGTCAACTGGATATACCTACATCCTAGAGTTGATACAGTTACATCCAACTGACGAGTCCCATATGGAACGAAACGCGCGTTGTTAGAAGTCGTAGAGGTATCTGCTTTCTATATCTGTAGTCTACCAAAAAAATAAAGTTGAGAGGACAGATTCATGAGATCACATTTTCCGCTGATCACTCAACTCTCTTTGATAAGTTTGCTTATCATACTATTAGTTCAATCACCGTTTATATATATATATAACTCTATGAGCAGTAATTGAAGAAACAAAGAAGAAAAAATATGGTAATATACACTCAAATAGTTGAATAGCCCTTAAACTCCGAATGAGGAGATTTTGAGATGATGGAGAAGATTTGTAGCTCAGGTAGATGATTTTGATGGAGTTTTGTTCTCTCAGTTGAATGGTTTAGTCGTGGCGCTTTCATTATTCTTCTAAACGACATCATCATCAGTACAAACTTCAGATAGAAATGAAGTGTTCGAATTTTTCCACATGTGCTTCACAGCTTGTCTTGTAGACCTCCATGTTGATTGATTGGCCTTAAACTTATCATCGTTTACTTCCAAAAAATGAAGTAAACGATGACAGCTTTAAGGTCAACCAATGAGCATCCAGATCTGCAAGAGAAGTTACGAAGGTTAGACTATAATTTATGAACGACCTTTGAGCGACGCCACAGTGACCTTGAGAGTGTCCACCTAATAACTATGATCAAATGAGGGTTATATATTAATTTGAGGAATTCGAATTATGATTTACAGTTGATGGTTAGGGTTAGGAATTAGATTTAAGGTTCTCACCACGAACTGACATCAACTGCAATATCAGAATAGCTCGGATAGCCTAGTGGTAACGTCTCGGGCTGTGAAGCTGGGTGACACGGGATCCAATCCGTCAGGGAGCACCGATTTCCTCAAGATTATAGGTACATCTTGCTGATGAGTGCCAAGTAGCACGAAGCCCGGGTCCAGGGTTTCCTGTTGACTACCTCCAACCACCATCTAATCTCAACGTAGTGCAAACAATGTCGAGTCACCTAGACTAGTGGCCACATCGCAACTTGGTCGATGGCATCCGATCTGCACTAAATTAGGACTTGACGCATGACATTAGTCACCACCCAGTGATCAATCAATTGTGATATCAAAACTCTATTTAGCTGAATGGATGAGTGGATTTCTCACCAAAACCGGAGATTTATTCTCATATACCTGATTGGTTCGTCCATAAATTTGTCTCACCGCTGTGAACTACATGCGGATAAATTCGAACCGTTCACTTCTAGTTGAAGTTTATGCTGGTGATGTCATTCAGAAGAACCGATGAAAGCTCCAAGATCAAACCATCCAGCTCAAAGAACAAAACTCCATCGAAATGAGGAAATGTCATTAGCAAATTCAGTATTTACTAACTGAATATACAAAGATGAGAAAAATGATAGATGTTTGAGAAAAGCACTCCATTAGTTGAAGTTATAAACGGTTTCTCTGATAGTAGAGAATAAAGTTAATATCATTATGAGGGTTGTGGAGATTACTAAGTTTTTGATTAAGATCATGAACCAATTGATGTTAAACCGCCATGGAAAACCTGGAAGCACTGGACGTCCGTTTCTTCCTATTGTGGGACGATCGTAGCGCGATTTCGTGGATTCGTTGAGGTTAGACATTAACACCGTTAGATGTCAACCAATTAAATGGTCTAGAGATTAAGCGTTCACAGGCGAGACTGAAAACTTTGGGTTCGAATCCCACGAGGGGGATCGTGAATGCCCACTGCTGAGGAGTCCTACAATAGAACGAAACGGCCATCCAGTGCATCCAAGTTTAATCGTTTCATGATGTCAATCAAAAAATAAAGTTATTCTATTTATATAAATCTAATCAGTATGAATTCTTATTAGATTTTACATTAACAAAAAAAAACAACATTTCATTTCAATTCATCAAGGCTCAACCATACTTTATACCATTTCAATATCATACAAATGGAACAGCGAATTTTTTAGCAAATTTTAATAATCCATTCGATGCTCAAACTGCAGTACATTATTGTCCAAATGGTAGTTTAAGATCAAATAAATATATAATAGGTGCAGCTTGTTTAATACCATCAACGAATACAAACAATCTCAATTGCATAACTTCATCATCATTATCATCATTATCATCACTGTCATCATCACCACCAATAGTGCCTATTCATACAACTAATATACTAAACTCTAATCATTTAATAAACACTTCAAATTTATTAAATTATGATTTTATCAATTCAGGGATTTCTCTTTTACCATCAACAACTTCAACAATTCAACACAATCGATTACAATAAAATACAGATTTTCTTGTTGCTTATACCCTACGTTTACATTACAAACTACTTTTGTTCTTATATATATATATATATATTCCCCTGTCTTCCTATCAATTGAATAGTTTGCTTTAATTTCTTAATGAACAAATCATTTGTACACACACACACACATACACACTCTTTTTTCCCAATTTGTGTATAGTTGAAAGTTGTACTAGGGATAATTTGTTACAATTCAGTTATTTTTCTAATCCCTTTGTTTGTTTGTTTTCTCTTTCTTTATATTTATGTATATTCTAAAATAACATTGAAGTGTTTGTTTTTTTTAAAAAAAAAAAGAAGATTAAGTTTTGTTTACTTATTGACTTACTTATGGCCTGTTGACCCCGGCCACGTATGCTTGAACACCGATTACCATGACGTGCAATGCTAACCGGTGTTGGAGATGGTTAGAAGAAAGTTAAGGGCTGCCAAACCAAAATGTGGCATCAGTCACTGAAGTCACTAACTTCTAGTCTGTGCCATGTTGGTAGATGCAGACTACTTGGTTAGGGTCCACATGACTATCGTAACCAATGGTTGGAGGCTCTTGGTGACATGGCTCAGAATCGATAACAATGGCGTCGGTGTATACACTCCCTGTCTTCCCTTCAACTATGAGATTAAAATTGCTTCATATCTTTCTTTCTACAACCTAATTCTTTCTTCCTGTACTATATTCTTATATGCAATCTTTTTTGTATATTACTACCATTGAATTAACTACTTTTATGAATCCGATGTTCATCTTGTTGTGTTAATGAGGTATGGCAACTTGGGCCGATGCATATATGTGCCTGGTCCTACGTTGTACCTGACTGACTGACCCGGGTTTCGTCACCATGGAGTATACAGGCCTTCAATCAGTGATGGTTGAAAATGGATACTAAAATGCACTAAAATTAGATATATGCCTCGATTTACTACTATCTTGTTTTAATCATATATCTTTCAATATCTTTATCAGTTAGTTTGATTAAGTAAAACAGATAAAATTGTAAGTCACTATGTTATTGGATTGTTATCTGCTGTTACATTTATCAAAGTGTTTAAATCACCTAATTGAGATGTGTGCTTAGTCGATATTCACAAGGCAACAATTTGTCTTTATTGAATAGTATACAAAAACTAGTTACAAATCTCAACTTGTGAGGTATCTATGGCGTTTACCGCTTCTTTTTGTGTGAAATAAAAAAGGCTCCGATAGTGGAAATTGACAACCGTTCTTTGTGCCTAAACTCTTTGACGGTTTATCAACAAGCAAAAATCAAACTAAAAGCAAGCAATATGAAAAATGTTACGTTTAAACAAGGATCAAACGACTGCATAAAATTGTCAACAACTGCTACCATGATTAAGATAAAGTGATTATAATGATAAATACAATATGTGTTATAAGCATATGTAACTACTTCAGAATATTACACAACAAACTTGCGTTGCTAGGGTTACAACTACTTACTGAATATTAATAAATAATATAAAACAATACTGAAAAGAGTCGAAGAGAAATGAATAAGGACAGAGAATGTAAAACGGACTTGACATCTACAATCTCATTACCAATTATATTCCAGTATATTTCATTGCTGAACAAAGCCCACAACCAATTGTAAGTTAAACCAAAAATAGACGACTAAAACAATATTATGTAAACCAAATTACAAATGTAATTCAGTTTAAATAAATACTTACAACTTTAAATATTACACTTAAAAGAAAGGATGTAATATCAGTTCTTATATGAAACTTTGCATATTTGTGATATAATTTAGTTGAAAGAGTAAAACCTCAGATTTATTTGGAACAATGGATAGGGGATTTCTAGTTCACTTTATGTTGTCGAAAATTTTAAGCAACCTATATATATGTATATATACGACAATGATAAGTCTTAGGTATGGATTCCTTTATTAGATGTTGAGCAATATTTATCAAGTTTTGTACAGATTTTAAAGTTATCACTTACCATCTTTATTTTCATGTTTTTTTCCCATGGTATTGAATAATAAATCAGCTAACTCGCTAGGCAATGCACACTTTTGTGTTCTCAAAAAACAAATCAGAACCCCAGGTAGCAATATGTGTGGTTACAAGTAATTTAACTGTTGATGTTATCGATTCATGTTATCATACATACAGGGTGCGAGACTTGTTTGTTAAAGAAGGAAAGCGTCTTCTATTAGTACTTCATCCCCGGTAATTCGTAGGGAATATCAGAATGCAGCTTAAATGGAGGACTCCAAAGTCGTGTTTTTTATGTCTTTTATAAAGACAGATGCGGCCTGAAAGTAACTTAAGTCTTTAAACATTGATGATGTCACAGGTATTCAGTGTTTGACAACGCTTCTACCAGTAACAGTAATGTATTTCGTTCCCACCCAGAGAAATCAAAAGACAGAGTCGAGGAGATCGGAAGAGTATATTTGGCGATGACCAATATATCGGAATTCTCTGAACTAATCTGGCTAGCGATTGCGGTTGATACTGAGCACGGCGTTATCACACGTGATCTGGTGCGGATGCCTGACCGAGCGCCTTCAGCTAGATGAGTGCACTAAAACATATGGTCAGCATCCAATGTCGAAAACTTAGTGCTAATTATTTTGGGGATTTACTTACCGCTACAACATTAAATGATCAATGAGAAAGCATCTTAGACCTAAGAGCTGCAACAGAGGATCATCAGCTGAATGAAAGGACCGAAACACCAACAATGTTAACAATCCATTTACTAAATAAGATCGATATATCATTGTTGGCTGTCATGTAGATAAGTATCCTCGAAAGTAAAGGTGAATTTCGGTATAAAAACGACAAAACAAAACATAATGTTCACAAAAATTGTACCGCACCGAATTAATGCAGGCCAGAATTAATTGACTTCAGTTTATTTTCATTCACAAAAATATATTATTTTGTGCAATACCAAGCTGTAAACAAATGGTGTGTTTGACATGATGCTAGTAAAACAACAGGTCTGATTTACAACAGCTTTGTAAACGCTGCAATATAGCAGTTAAATTAATTTAAAAAAATCACCGTTCAGTATGGTCTTATGATGCCTAGGCGATGTTGATCCACCCTATTCAAACCGAGTGAACCAGGAATCAATAACTATGGTTGCTAGGACAGTACTTTTCGTATAATCAAAAAAGGATGGCTAACCAGTGTTATGGCATCTAATTCAATGCAAACGAAAGCCAGTGATGTTTATTAACTATCACTGTCGTTGCAGCCTATTCTGAGATTTTGAAGGATTATCGCCTAATTCGATATTAGTACACTTATCTTGGCTACTGAAAAAGTGGTCCTTATCCCAAAAACGTAGATTTGTTATGATATGACTATCTAATCTATGAGATCTTGTATGGAACTCACATCATTGTCTTTACCCACTCGTTCAGTAGAAACACTTAGCACAATGATGGTTGGGACTTACGAAGAACATGTTTGTGCTGGGGTAAAATAATATATTTAGTATGAACTACACAGTGAATACGTACGCCCATCCAAGCCATTCTATTTCGACTCTACACTCCCGCGTTCGTCATTTTTGACCTCTTGGTGTTACATGTTGAGTGTACATGTCTTCGGCTTCAAAGATCTTGTGGTTAGCAACCAATGTTTATACAATTTAACTGGTTTGATAACACCTAAACTTAGGAGTCAATCCAGTTCTTGCTCAACTACTGGGAGGAGCTCATAAGGTATAAATCTTCTGGATGGGAGCACTGGCTTCCGTCCCTGTAGAAAGGCATGAATAGCTTCAGATTTAGTGCATTCGTGTATAAAGACTTATCATCCGTGAGTCGTACATAAAGACTAGGAGCTTAAAATCAACCCAAACGAAACTTGGATGCTAAACGAGAAGGACCCAAAAATTATAAATTTTCGGATGGTGAGGCTCTGGCAGAGAGTGTTGTCGAAGTCACTGCGTGCAGCACAAAGTCATTTAGTTTATCCTTGGATCTAACACACAAATCTGTGGATTTTGCTCGGCAATCAATCGAAACTAGGGGTACAAATGTACTTTGGCAACCCGGATGTAGTCGCAGTCACGAAAACTTAGCTGATACAGTCATTAGACAGTAGAGAACTTGATTTTGAAGGTTTCAAATTAGTAAAAGCCGCAAGAATTCAGAAGCATAAGGGATGAGTAGCTATAATCAAAAGAAAAACTACCTCATTCACCGCTAATTATAACACATCCGAAGTGAGTGGGACGTGTGATTTAGTTAGTTTCCGCTTGAAATGGAAAGGAAAAGAGCTGATGATCGGTTAGGCCTTCCGCAGTCCAGATTGTAAGGTGAATGAGTTCTTGCTAGATGGTTCCAATGCTTAGTCACAAAATGGTTGATGTTTAATCTTAGAGGACTTCATGTAAGCTGATCCCGGTTCAGCGAAACTCCAGTATGATGGTCGGCTGGCTGAATTAAACTTATTTACATTATCATGTATATGAACCAGAGGCGACTTGATCACAGTTTTTACATTATTTGGTGACAACTTTACATTTGATATGCCCTCAATTTTCCAATCTTTTAAAACAGAGCATTTATGAGGACACTCCAAAAATGTTTACAAGCTCAGAACGAGTTACTTATCAGCTGTATATCTACTTTCCCATCGAATTATCAACGAGTGAAATCCATTAACTTAACACGCGATTGAAGCTCCATCTTTTGAAGCCTTCAAAAGAAAGTTGAACCAACTGGTAGATCACCATCGCCAGGATTATAATCGGCCACCTAGCCTTGTCCTTTCCGAACTGAGACTAGTACTGAACCTTACGGGGTTTTAATCAACAATACATCGGATCGTTCAAACAATACTAAATATTTATAAAATACCCATATCTAACTATGCAATTGTTATCAACAACTCTTTTTTAGAACCAGTCAACCTTTCGCCAGGTAGTGTGATTGTTTCTAGTATCCAGAACCCTTGGCGACCTGATACAAACGTATCTACTCAGATTACAGGATATACAAGCCAACAAACAATTACAAAACTATCTAAAACAAGTGCGGTCGAGTGGCCGAACGAAACAACCAAAAGCGATTCCACTGAACTCTGTTGGTTCATGCAAGCTTAGAATAAAGAATTTCAGATATTGGACAAATTACAGACAGCGCAATGTGTAAATCATCAAGGTCAATCATCGCATTGGTTCTATTGAGATTTTGGTTGGCCCCACGAGTGCTCCGGTTTAGCGTTGCTTCGCTTTACAGAGTGACGCGTACATCCTAAAATCTTACTGCTCAGTCGTTATTCAATACGTTATTTTGTGTTAACCATTAACAAAGTTTGGTTTTTATGAAATTTTTTATAAACAACATCCAACATGACAGAACAACTAGACATAACGTTTAACTATGCCAGCACCAAAATCGCACAAGGACTAGTAGAGCTTTCCAAATAATATAATAATAATAGTTGTTCTCTCATGTTGTTGTCTAAACGTCCTCAAATGGTCTACATCACTACATAAGTTTTTTACACTAATAGATAAGTGAAATAACTCAAACCGACAACTTTTAGTTATAATGGATGTTAACTCTCTACAAGTAAATTTAGGTTTTCCATGGGAATCATTATTTTTGCAAGTGCTAGTGTATAAGTTCCCATTCAAGAACAGATATTATATGTATGCATACACCTCCTGTTCTAGATTAAGTCTGTCAATGCACTGATAACGTTCAACGTTATTCAGGAAAATAAGTATGTTAGACCCTACTTGGTGTTTAGATGGACATCCACGGAAAAGATAATCAACAATAGTTGAGCGGAGTTTAACGATGACCATTAATGAATTGTTCCTCAAGTTTTAAAATAGGATACCTAACCCATTATTTTACCATAGTTGAATCCTCTTGGCTCCCCAAGTTGTGATTATCAGTTGTTAGTTTTATGTTCATCTGAAGCGCAGTTATCCCTCCTTTATTTCTGAGCTACCTTACCCAACCTCCTATCATCACCTTTCAAACTATTGCATAACTAATACCTAAAGCTCTTGGCACCTGTGTTACTAATTCAAGGTTTCTTTCTCACTTGACTTTACTTGGTATGGTTGGTCTTTAGAATGATAAGTAACCATTCACTAGTGAGTTTTGGTGATATACCTTCTCTGACGGTATAAGTAACGATACGTGACTATTCTCTAAAACTAAATGCGCATGATTATTTTCGAAAAATAAAACTAAAATTGAGTATTGGTGGAACAGTTCTTAATTTTAGTCGAAGGAACCTCCCCATTGAAACCAAACGCGTCTTTCAGTAACATTCTCAGTATTCTTCCACAATGGGCGTTATAATAATTAGACTTGGGACTTATCGTTATAAACTTATTCGTGATGAGCATTAGTCGTAGGACCAGGCACATATATGCGTCGGTCCAAGTTGCCATACCTCGTTATCGCAATAATATGAACACCAATCATAACTTTGTGAACAAGGCATCTAATCGACGAAATCTGTTCACGAACATAATAAGCTGATTTTATATTTCCCAACTTACGCTAGACACTTTAATTCCTCATGCAGTATTCAAGTCAAATAGGATAAGCGTCTGCTTTTATTTATAGACCGGCGACAGTTTTTTTTCGATATTTTATCACTTAATAATGCTATTTCAACCAATTATTGGTTATTCCTGTTCACAGCAGTGTCATGTCCAAGGGTTTCATCGACAAACTTCGTATTTTTGTCAGAGCTGGTAGTGGGGCTGCAGGTAGTCCACCAATTAAAGGCCGGGGAGGGAATGGTGGGAGTGTATTTCTAGAAGCCGATGAAAATCAAACACTCCAAAATCTGTTTATGGCTAACCCGACGAAACGTTTCATGGTAGTTTTAATACAACGTTTTCCTGTTAAATGTTAAATTTTATCGGTTTTTATTACTGATTTGTCAGTCGATCGATTTTATTTATTTATCAAGTAGCAGTTTATGTAATCAGTTTTAAGCCACATTGTATGTGCTTGTTAGTAGTACTTTCAGGCTCCTAAAACCCAAAGGAAGGTGGGATAGGGTTCGAAGCTGGTTGAAAGCTGAGTACCTTAGCCACTAAAAATCGCTGATATTTTCATCCACAAGATACATTCTTATCGATATGGATGTGCTGAGATTTGAATTTGTTATTTTTATCTTCTCTTGAAACTCATCTTTCCTTCCCAAGATTTAATTGACCTCCGTTGTTTTAAATGTATGACGATTGGTTGAGAAGTTCCGATACTTTTTGTTCTTGTCTATGCATGTCTGTTTGTTACTATTTAGTTGAATCCCTCAAATTTCAACCAATTAGGTTATAGGTATAAACCATGGTCTGTATATTGATGTCCAAGCAAACATCTATTATCATAATCAATCTTCGTATCATAGGTCTGAATAAGATTAGTGTGTGAGCCACTCTATTTATTCACGTTGTTCTATTTATTCTTAAAATTAAATGTAATTAAGACAGGGATTCGTATGTATTACTTTCGATGTGATCAACTCGCCACTTTTTATTCAGTGATTGAACTGCGGTAGCAGTTGCTGTTCAGTGTAAAATTCGTAAGTTTCATTCTTTTGAAAAGAATAAAACAATAATTTGATCTCAAACTATGGAGAGATTCATGTATATAAAGTCAGTAGTTACATCTATTTTGTCATTCTTATAACACATCTACAAATGCCAAGTGTTAATACAACTGGTAAATTCTGAAAACAATTAAACCATAACAAAAAAATTGAAAGCCAAATTAAGATAGATGTAATTTAAAAAACTTACGATAATAACTAAATAAAAGGGCAGAAAAAACAACAACAAAAAAGCACAGAAGCATACCCATTAAGGGAATTAGGGCCAAGGAAGGATGAGAGGTTGGACAAATCGTTTCTGCACGCAAAGTTCAGGCTTGAGTTTGTGGATTGCCAGTGCCTCTGCGGTGCATAAAATATTGATTCGAACCCCCTTCGATCCAGTTCCTTTGACTCTGTAGACTACCTTAAATGAAGAGTCCTTTGGAGCGATGTGTCCACAGTTGATTAAGTGCTCCTGTATAGAACTCGTGATTGTTTTTCGTTGCCCTTTTAAGAGCCAGGCCGGATAATGTTCCGAGATGCGTTTGGATAATGATCGCTTTGTGTGGCCTATGTAGCATGCCCCACATGACCAAGTAAATTTATATATACACATTAAAGTGGCCCAAAGCGGAAGTTTGTCCTTAACACACCCCAGAATGGTAGGTCGGCTAGAGAAAATGATTCGGAGCTTAGCTGCGTGGAATTTTTATTCGATGATTTCAGAATCCGTTTATTTAGGATTTCGGCAGCCGTGTCTCCTTTAAATTTCATATTCATAAATAGAGTTTTCTTCTCTACTGTCGATGCTTTGTCATGAAGTCTAGGTGCCAAATTTCTATTAATGAATCTCGGTGGATAACCATTTTTGATGAGGGTCTGTCGAAGATGAAATAGTTCCCCATCTATTGTGTCATTGCAATAAATTCGCTTGATCCTCGAGGATAAAGAATAAATTAAGTTCCTTGTTCTACTTAATGGAACCCAACTATGGAAGTTCGTGTATTGTCCATTCCAAGTAGGTTTTCTATATATCGATCTCTGTAAAAAAACCGTCAGCCAATCTTTTTAAACGAATATCAAGAAAATGAAATTCATGGTTTGTCTCTGCTTCTAGGGTAAATTGGATTGATGGGTGACAGTTATTGAAAATATTCAAGATATCATTGAGGTCACTATCTTCTTCGCAAATAATGAAAGTGTCATCCATACATCTCTTATATAAATGAAACCTCTCAATTATTGGTCGAAGTGCCGATTTTTTTAGATTAGCCGTGAATCAATCAGCCAGGCGAGGACCCAATGGGGAGCCCATTGCAACTCCATCTATTTGTCTATAGAAAGCATCATTAAATCTAAATTGCACGTTAAGCGTACATTGCAGAAGTAGTTCTTTAAGGTATTGTTTCGGGATACGCATATCAAGATTATTGTTTTCAATATAGTCACATAAAAAGCAAATGGTTTCTGTGAGGGGAACATTTGTAAAAAGAGAAGTGACATCTAATGAGAACATTTTCTTACCGGTTACGTTGATATTTCTAATTGAGTCAACAAAGTCAAAGGAATCAAGAGAATTGTATTTTTTGATATGATTTTTAACAGGTTGTAGAATGTCAACTAACCATTTAGCGATCAAGTGATAAGGAGAATTGTTCATATCAAGTATAGGACGTAGTGGGACATTATTCTTACGAACGTTTGGGAGTCCATAGAAGTCACAATTGATAATAGCCTCATCTTCCATTTTCTTTAAAATTTTAATTAGCATCTGTTCAGTTTTTTCAGTTGTGTCTTTTTGAACGGTCTCAATAGAGAATTTGACAGGATCAGATAATATCGAAGATATTTTGGTAACATAGTCAAGACAATCCATAAGGACAATTCCTGCACCCTTGTCTGGGCGACATAACACTAAGTCCTGATTTCTCCGAAGATCAGATAATTGAGATTTATGTTCTTTTGTAAGTAATCGACTAATTGTAGGTGTTTTGTTTACGTACTGATTACAACAATCCACAAGAGTTGTTTTAAAATGCTCAAAATCTTTATTAGATACTGGAATAAGGTCATTTGTCTGTCGAATGAGGCTTTCAAACTGGATTTTAGCGGCACTTTGAAACGTCTTACTCTCAATTATGTCGATGAAATTAAGTCTAGAATACCAGAATTGGAACGAAATATCTCATTACGTTCACATACATTATTTGATCTGTCAGAAGATCAACGTTTCAAATTCAAAGATTACATTGATATTGTTAGCAAGAATCGTACTGAAGATGTGATCTTGAAATAAATGAAAAGTTTAAAACCGACCGAGATGCAAGCTTCTTTTCCTGAATCTCCATAGAAATATGTTTTCAATTACTCAAGTATAACACTATCGACTATTCAGCTACAAGCATTATCCCTTGGTCCTAAATTTTGTAGTACGTCTACTAACATTATTGAACTCAACGCTAAAATCCAGTTTGAAAGCCTCATTCGACAGACAAATGACCTTATTCCAGTATCTAATAAAGATTTTGAGCATTTTAAAACAACTCTTGTGGATTGTTGTAATCAGTACGTAAACAAAACACCTACAATTAGTCGATTACTTACAAAAGAACATAAATCTCAATTATCTGATCTTCGGAGAAATCAGGACTTAGTGTTATGTCGCCCAGACAAGGGTGCAGGAATTGTCCTTATGGATTGTCTTGACTATGTTACCAAAATATCTTCGATATTATCTGATCCTGTCAAATTCTTTATTGAGACCGTTCAAAAAGACACAACTGAAAAAACTGAACAGATGCTAATTAAAATTTTAAAGAAAATGGAAGATGAGGCTATTATCAATTGTGACTTCTATGGACTCCCAAACGTTCGTAAGAATAATGTCCCACTACGTCCTATACTTGATATGAACAATTCTCTTTATCACTTGATCGCTAAATGGTTAGTTGACATTCTACAACCTGTTAAAAATCATATCAAAAAATACAATTCTCTTGATTCCTTTGACTTTGTCGACTCAATTAGAAATATCAACGTAACCGGTAGGAAAATGTTCTCATTAGATGTCACTTCTCTTTTTACAAATGTTCCCCTCACAGAAACCATTTGCTTTTTATGTGACTATATTGAAAACAATAATCTTGATATGCGTATCCCGAAACAATACCTTAAAGAACTACTTCTGCAATGTACGCTTAACGTGCAATTTAGATTTAATGATGCTTTCTATAGACAAATAGATGGAGTTGCAATGGGCTCCCCATTGGGTCCTCGCCTGGCTGATTGATTCACGGCTAATCTAAAAAAATCGGCACTTCGACCAATAATTGAGAGGTTTCATTTATATAAGAGATGTATGGATGACACTTTCATTATTTGCGAAGAAGATAGTGACCTCAATGATATCTTGAATATTTTCAATAACTGTCACCCATCAATCCAATTTACCCTAGAAGCAGAGACAAACCATGAATTTCATTTTCTTGATATTCGTTTAAAAAGATTGGCTGACGGTTTTTTTACAGAGATCGATATATAGAAAACCTACTTGGAATGGACAATACACGAACTTCCATAGTTGGGTTCCATTAAGTAGAACAAGGAACTTAATTTATTCTTTATCCTCGAGGATCAAGCGAATTTATTGCAATGACACAATAGATGGGGAACTATTTCATCTTCGACAGACCCTCATCAAAAATGGTTATCCACCGAGATTCATTAATAGAAATTTGGCACCTAGACTTCATGACAAAGCATCGACAGTAGAGAAGAAAACTCTATTTATGAATATGAAATTTAAAGGAGACACGGCTGCCGAAATCCTAAATAAACGGATTCTGAAATCATCGAATAAAAATTCCACGCAGCTAAGCTCCGAATCATTTTCTCTAGCCGACCTACCATTCTGGGGTGTGTTAAGGACAAACTTCCGCTTTGGGCCACTTTAATGTGTATATATAAATTTACTTGGTCATGTGGGGCATGCTACATAGGCCACACAAAGCGATCATTATCCAAACGCATCTCGGAACATTATCCGGCCTGGCTCTTAAAAGGGCAACGAAAAACAATCACGAGTTCTATACAGGAGCACTTAATCAACTGTGGACACATCGCTCCAAAGGACTCTTCATTTAAGGTAGTCTACAGAGTCAAAGGAACTGGATCGAAAGGGGTTCGAATCAATATTTTATGCACCGCAGAGGCACTGGCAATCCACAAACTCAAGCCTGAACTTTGAGTGCAGAAACGATTTGTCCAACCTCTCATCCTTCCTTGGCCCTAATTCCCTTAATGGGTATGTTTCTGTGCTTTTTTGTTGTTGTTTTTTCAGCACTTTTATTTAATTTGTATCGGTAAATTTTTAATTTACTATTTTGCACTTTAAACTCTAATGATTTATTATTATTAGAGTTAATGTTGGAAAGTTGTAATGGAATTTCGTTGTAAATGGGACAAGGCATTGACAAGTTGTGATCGCCCACTGCAAAAATAACTTCTTCCTAAGTATTTAAGAACGGAAACTGACTTATCAAGTTAAAAGCCTGACCTTAGGGTTCATAAAACTGTTGCATGAGACCGGGTCCATATTTTCTAGACCTTGCCCGTGATACGAGAAACTGTTAGTGAAAAGTAAGGTATGTGTACTTTTTTTATTAGCTATTTCATACAAACCAATATCAGATCATAATTTCCGGCAACAGATTTAAAAATACTGACAATGGGTCGTTTGAACTTGTTAAATCGTTCTTCAACGTTTTTTAAACTCTTGACTTACTGCATTTCAATCCACCCACTTTTGTTAAAATAGTCAGCTGATATCTTTAGCTACAATCGAGTAAATACGGCCCAACAGCGAGTGTATAGTCTTCTACTTGATCATTGACTTTACATCATTTATATTCCTAGAATCAGATACCCATCGTAGTTTCTCACAAAACAAATAGGAATTACCAATCTAATTTTTTCATACAATTGATTGTTACTTGTATTTTTTCAAGTTAAATTACTTTTCAAATGTTCTTGACTCATAGTTACGTTACCTATTTATTCCTTTAATACACACAATTCTGACGCAACTAAGCTTATATTGTCGGAAAGACTGTTATATTTGACCACCTTTCGACCTTCAGAAAATTTAGTCGCTCTTTGTTCACTAACTTGTCCCAAGAAAATATAGTAGAAAACCACATGGATTATTTATTGTTTAAATCTACAACATTGTTGTTTGATCTGAAGTATACGAGACAACTTTAGTTCTTTTTTTCCGGAAGCCCCAGGATTCTATTGTTCGTGTATGAAACAATTATCACAGAACTTCTACAATCATAAAAAACATCAAATAATAATTTGCAACTATATACACTTTATGGTTAACAGTTAATGTTCTTTCCTTTAGTAATATGATGTTCATGTATGACTCGTTTCTGGTTAAATTTGCCCTTAATTAATATGAAACTTTCATCTAATCATTTATCTGTTTGTACATTTATAGGCTGGACATGGAACAGAGGCAAGTAAACGTCGTGGTTTAGTTGCTGGTCTAGATGGTGAAGATTTGACTATTCGTGTTCCTGCTGGAATAACTGTATTATTTGGAGGTCAAGGGACATCATCATCTAATGGATCAGAACAACGAATACTTGGAAATTTGGATCAAGTCGGTCAAAAATTACTTGTAGCACAAGGTGGTATAGGTGGATTTCACCAAAATGGGTATATTGGCTCACCGGGTCAAGCTCACAGTATCGTCTTAGACTTAAAGGTGATAATTTGTTATCTTTTAATAAAAATCAATCCAACCACTCATTAAATATTATCCCACCCTTCAATAATCAACATAAACTCAATTGTGTTCAGAATCATAGAATAAATTGTCAGCGATAACTGACATCCAATTATTCTTACTGAACAAGATCTTTTTGTTATGAAACCAGGGGAGAATACACAGTTGGTACTCATTCAATTCATAGTCGATTTTGGGTTTAAAAATAAAATTAAGCCAACTGTTTACTTCTGTTAATTGATTCTGTTATATTGTAAAGCTAAATATTTATATTGCATAGGTTTAAGTCAGTTTTTGTCGATTCAACAAAGGTTATTCATGTTTTGACTAATCTAGAACCGTAAATTTAAGGTAGGTTTAGTTTAAAAAAAGTCGAATATTATTTTCAGGTACTGATTAATAAGTTGTTTATTTATTTGAGTAAATAAACATTGGTACAAGGAGGCACCAAATAGATATGCACCACATAAATCATTCGATTTGTGTAAGGGCTGGGATACTTCTCGGGTGCTCAGACCGAAGCAGGTGGTTTTGTTAGGGGGCCACACGCGGAGCCTTCGACCTAAAGGTTCAATCCATGGTGCAGTGCAGCAACGTCAGTCGGTGACCAACAATTGGTTCATACACCATTTGTTCCTTCAAGATACTGGAGCCCATGTACACCATTGGTTTGCAATCAGGGTTTTACAACTCCCCTAGGTGAACTCTCTATTATAAGTTAGTTATCTTACTTCAACATTATATTATCACATTTAATAATTGATTCCTCTTTCAATATAGCTTATGGCTGATTACAGTTTGATTGGATTTCCTAACGCTGGTAAATCCAGTTTATTAAAAGCTTTATCTGGTGCACCTGCAAAAATTGCCAGTTATCCTTTCACTACAATCAAACCACAAGTTGCCAAATGCATATACTCAGATCATCGTAAGATAAGTATAGCAGATTTACCAGGTAAATATCCGTACAAATTAAATTCAAATTGTTACTGTATTCATTAATTTTCAGTCCAGTATAAGTTCTGACTTGCAAACCTGTCGACTTACACAATATTTTATGTGTTCAAATGTTCAAATCATCATTGCTGATGTATTTAAATATAAAGCAAAAAGTAAATTTACTGAAGAAATCCTTTTTGACTTTACTTTTATATAGTCTATAAACAGATTGTATGTTTACATAGAATACATAAAATGTGTCTAGCAGTGAAATTCAAGACGCGTGTTTCATCCTACTTGAGATTCGTCAGCTGAATATACCTGCATCTCAGAGTTGATATTCACTTCGGGACTCGAACTCACTAGTGTTGGATTCAAACACCATCACGTTATTTACTTAGCTACTGAATCCAGATAGTCACTCAAATTTCAATCTATATGTTAACATCACGATAGTCCAAACTATTGAAAACTAGAGCGAAGTTTATACACGCTGCAAAAGTAAAGTGGCTATCTGGTTAACACGCTAACATTTGAAGCGAACGCTAGTGGGTTTGAGTATTGAGGTGAATTTCAACTCTTAGAAGAGTCTGGTACATCCAGCTGATGATTCCCATACAGAATGAAACGCGCGTCTTAAATTCCACTAATAACCAGATTTCATGTATTCCATATAAACTTGTATCATAATAACTACATTGATGCACATATATCACCAAAGACTGATCACATTTCAGTTAGTATATGAACAGTGTGATAATTTAAACCCCTATTTTTGAGTTAAGACTGTGTTGATTAAAGTATTAAGCATGTGAGTTTTGGTCAAGAATTGACGAAGTAGTTCTATGGGATTAGTTATAGGATAGGGGTTAAAATTTCTAACACTTGAGGCATATTCATTAAGATAAACACTGTGTTCATGACCGAAAAGTTGGAGTAAAGGCCATATAATATGAACGAAAGTCATGAGTTCTAAGTGGGTTTTTTTTAAATATTATTCATTTGAACCCATAAACATTAGTACAAGGAGGCACCAAATAGGTATGCTCCACATAAATCATTCGATTTGTGTGAGGGCTGCGATACTGTCCGGGTGCCCAAATCGTAGCAGGTGGTTGTTTAGGGGGCCACACCCGGAGCCGAACATTCGCTTTTCATCCTCTCGGTTTCTTAAACAACACCCTGTCTCGAGAACGCAGTGAGTAGGACTTCCCTGGCAGTGGTTGTATGCACGTGGCCATGTGTGAGAGCATTTGGAGAGGGAGAACTGACTCTCCCCACTCTGGGTCGTACCAGGGCATTTGGGGACATTACGTCTGATAATATAGTTCATTGAATAAAAGAAGTGAATCCGACAATAAAATATGGTCAATCTGAAGTTAATATAAGAAACGAGAAAGATCTGATAGACTGTTCTGTTAACACAGATCAGGGTTTAAATTTTGGTTGGCTAAATGTTCTATAGTGTGAAGTAGGTTAAGATGTGCACTTTTTACAATCTTTGACCGGACCTTGTAGATAGCGTCAAAGGGTTAATTTAGTAGTGAATATCTTGATTTCACTACATGCAACAGAATTGAAGACGCAATTTATTTGAGCCATATTGGAGTATGCTCTTGGATAAGGTAAAAAGGAGGCCTTGACAAATGATCTACCTACCCAGTTCTATAGAAACTGGTAAACTGGTGTATACACATAGAATTGGTCGGTCATGGCAACTTATCTTTCAACTGAAGCTGTATAACTGGGTGACCACCATATAGCATGCAAAGATCTACTGTATGAGTTTGTCTTTCAAAAAGAGTTTTCCGGACAATTTATATATATATATATCTCCATCGGCACCCTTTTTTTGTTTTTGTGGGACTATAAGAAATCATAATCTTTATAATATCAATGTATAATGATAATCCTTAGTTATAATTGCTACACATTGTATCATTAGAACAAAGATAATAGTTGACTATATTAGATTTACATTTAATTAGTCATAAATTTATTATAGATTATTAGTTGTAAAATTAAACTTTATAAAGCGTAGTTTTATGGAGAATTATTCGGATTCCTGAACGGGATTTGTTACAGATTCACCTCAGTTGGAGTACCATGGAAAACCGAGGAGCACTAGACATATGTTTCGTCCTATTGTGAAGCTCCTCATCAGCACGAATTCACTGAGGTTGCAAATATGTACAGTTGGTCATTAATGCGGTCATGAAACCTGAATATCCTGTATCCAGTAGTGGATGCGCGCTTCATAGGAATTTCATACTAAAAGGAAACATTGCTCTAGTTCACCATGGTTATCAATAGTATCCTAATATAACTTTATTTTTTATTCTGCCCTAATTGTTTACTGTTTGCTCGGATGTAATTTTTACCCCAAAACATATTTTATTTATTTGAACACGTAAAAATAGGTACAAGGGGGCACTAGATACATATTCACTACACGTCTGAGTTCTTGTCGGAGCGAGCATAGTACTTTGTGAATTAATTGTCATCTCACCAAATATGTGTGAAGGCTGGGATAATGCCCGGGTGCCCAGACCGAAGCCGGTGGTTTTCCTAGGGGGCTACATCCTGAGCCTTCGACCTAAAGGTCTGATCCACAAGGCAGTGGAGCAACGTAAGGAGATTCACTCTCATGGTAGCCGGTGACCAACGACTAGTTTATACACCATTTGTTCCCTCAGGATACTAGAGCCCATGTACACCATTGGTTTGAAATGAGTGTTTTCCAACTGCCCTAGGTGGACTATTCGTTTCCATCAACTCGGTTAAAGTGCTGGATATTCACTTTTCGTCTTCTCAATATCGTAAACAGCAATAATACCGCGAGATGGCAGTGAGTAGGGCTTTCCTGGCAGTGTTTGTATGCACATGACCATGTGAGAGCATTTCGAGAGGGAGCGCTGACTCTCCCCACTCTCGGTCGTACCAGGGTATTTGGGTGGAAGATAAAACATAACATCATTGAGAATTTTTACGTGATAATCTACAACTGGTAAGTTATTGCTTGTGATGAGAATATCTGATCCCTTTAAATTCACATTCCATTATAATTTTTATTGTATTATGGATAATCGGTCTGTTTTTATTAATTTATTCTTTCTTTACACTATTTGTTCTAGGTCTTGCTGATATTTATGCTCAGTATGATGCACAAATAAATCAAAATAACAATGATCAATCTGATTCAAAGGCATCTTTACCGAGTTTAAGACATACGAACTTTTTAAAACATGTTGAACGTAGTTCATGCATACTTCTTGTGTTAGATTCACTTGGATTTTGTAAAGATCAATTTAGTTCTAGACGTAATGCATTAGCTGTTGCTTATTTAGTTTTAAATCAAATGGAACGATGGTCTAATGGTTTACTTCTTGAAAAACCAATGGCTTGTATTTTGAATAAAGTAAGTTTAATTAATTAGACAATTATATTTGTCTTTATATTGTACAGGTTTTATTTTACTGTGTATAGATTGCTGCCTTTAAAATGAAGCTGTTCGACACACATTTTTCCCAATTGAAGCGTCATTATTCATGTAAATGTTACCACATGATATACCCATCATTAAAATGACTAGAAGTATTTACGATCGAATGAATGGATTGTGATAAACCACTTTTTGCCACACAACGGTAGTGGCGTCATAGCTGTTGGAAGGAAGTGCAAAGTTTTAAACGTATGCTTATTCGGTTAAATAAACAAATTTTCTAGCGTTTGTTGTGTTAAACAGTTTTATTGGAAATAATAAATACTTGTTTGTCATCACCTTACAGTTATTATTGTCATCAACCAAGTGTGTGATCATTACGTGACATTCTTACATCCCTAGATTGATACTACCGGTGCAATGGATGAAGCTTTAGAAACAAAATATTGGCTTGAACGTATGGATTCATCTGAAGCAAAACAACATTCACAGCTTCCTCCGAAGTTGTTACCTAGTCTGACACCCAAATTTGAATCGATCGAACTGGTCTCTGCTTTGCGTCACACAAATATACCCGGTAAGTTTTAATCTCATTGACTGGTTGGATTATTCTATATTACTATTACTATTTTCAGTAAATTGTTTTATGTGAAGCAACTAAGTCGTTATTGACATAATGCACTAATTTTTTGGTACTTCAAAATCCTTTGTTGTATATAGTCTGTTCGTTCTATCCTACACCACGGCTGTGAAACGTGACCCTTAAGAGTAGAAGATACTCGTAAGCTACTAGTATTTGACTACAGATGCCTTAGAAATATTGGTCGCATCTTCTGGGATCACCGGGTAAGTAATAATGAGGCGTTAGACACAGGATATTAGGGAATGATGGTAAATCAGTTGATGGGGCTGTACATTTTCGTCGACTGAGATGGTTGGGCCACGTGTTGCGTATACCTGAACACCGACTACCACGACGTGCAATGCTAACCGGTGTTCGGGATGGTTGGAAAAAAGTTAGGGGCAGCCAAACCAAAACGTGGCAGCAGTGCTTGAAGTCACTAACTTCTAGTTTGAGCCATGTTAGTAGATGTAGACTACTTGATTGGGGTTTGCGTGACTATCATAACCATTGGTTGGAGACTCTTGGTGATATGGCTTATAATCGATCATAATGGCGTAGATGTATATACTCTTTGTCTTCCCTTGAACTATGAGATTAAAATTGCTTCATGTCTTATTAGAAATTCATTGTTGTCATCAAATTTCGTACACTTAATGTGGGTCAAACGGCTTGTTTTGTTTTTATTCCAACTATCTTCTAAAAGTCACAACATTGATATATAACATATAAACTAAATTTTGATTAGCTTATGAATTTTCAGTTTATTATATCGTTTGATGGTTATACGTACTTATGATTTGTCGATTATAAATAATTGACTGTATGATTTGTACATCATTTACTCTCAGTCTGTAAATTATCTCAATACAGTTTGTATTATTGGTATCTTGCATTTGGTGACTCAGTCGAACAAAAAGTCTGTTTGAAATCCCACTTAAAAATTATTAACAGGTTCTGGTTAATAAAAAAAATGGAATGATCCACAACAACAAAACAAGTTTATTGAAATGATGAAATATGTCGATATCGTCAAACGTTAGTATCTTAAATTCACCGATAACTTGGTAAATGTCTACATATTCTTAGGTAACTGCATATGGAAGTCAATTCCTGTAGTCAGTAGAGGTCTCAACATAAATTCTCTTCTATTATCAAACATGAAGAGAGATCAATTTTAGTACCATTGATGCTAATGACCTGAAATTGTATTTCATCATCAGGAAGCGAATGCAAAAAAATATCGACTGCTCCACACCATGTTGTCACAAAGATTCTGGATATTAAAAAACCTATTGAAATGTATATGCAAAAATCATACTGTGTCACTTAAACAGATTACTAAGTTATCTCAGTAATTCTCCTAGTTCACTTCTTAGTTAAAGTTGACACAAGCATTATTGTGTTACATACCGATGAAGGCTTCGTCAGTCAATAGTCGAATTCGAAGAAAATACTGTTTTGACGAGACGAATATTAGGGAAGCGGTAACTTTTGAGACTAATTTACGGATTACTATTGTTGTACATACTTTTATTACGTGATCATCTCATAACTCGAATATTTCCAGATCTGTTTTACCCGTATTGTGTAAGCTTTCATAGACTCACTAACTGATGTTATCTGCTTTACTCAGTCAGTCAGTCACTGACTGAGTTTTACTACTCCCTATTTATTAATTGTTAATTATCCACCTACTGCTCCATTTTCTATCACCTAAAACCTGATTGTGTGTAAAGAATGGTTTTTGGAAAAATGGCTGTCTGCTACCTTGTTATATGACGGGAATGAATCCTGGGATTTGAAGAAGACGCGTTCTGATATTTTAGGTGTTTACATGATTTGGTGACTGTTCAAGGTTTACCTTTGTCGGTTGAACGTGTCACTGTTCAAAGCTTAAGATGTTGGTGTGTAAATGAAAAAGTATACTTACTGTGGATAATTGTAAGCCGGCATCTTATTGGTAAATATTGTCAAGTGATTAAGAAATGGATAGAATAACTAAATGAGTATAAGAAATATATCATCACAAAAATCCATCCTAATTTATATGTCCGTTCGGTGCGTTCTAAACATCTACAGTACGACAATTTGTGTAAAACATTTGAAGACAGTATGCCAAACTTTACGTGCACATTTTCAACTATTCATCTTATAAACCTTGTTTCATAATAAACGGAATACACCCATTATGACATTAAATAAGAAAGAAAGATTGTACAGCTTTGAAAATGAATTCGCCGAAAAGAGAACTCTTCGCTGAATTAATCTTTCTTTCTTGTTTCATAAGTCAAAGAAAGTAGAAAACCTGCTTCTAGTTAGAAGCCATGACCAGTAAAGTACAGTCTTGTAGGATGTGAGGCAGTTATCTGCCAATGGCATTAGATTAATGTTCGTGGAATTTCACGAACTCACTGAAGCTCGAGAAATAAACTATTGGATACTAAACTAGTTGATTAAGAGTCAAGCGTTCGCTGAGAGACCTAAAGATCCTCTGTTCACTCCCAGGTACGATTGTGGGTGTGCACTGCTGAAGATTTTCAAACTAGAAAGAAAACGTTATCCATTGCTTCCATGTGTTCAGTGATTGTACAACATAGATTGCTTCACGGTTTTAATAACTTGCTGAGTAAATCGCCAATGTTGTTGTCATTTTTTTCTCTTAGAATTGAAAGAGTCATTGCGCAACTGGCTTGATCAAATTGAATTAAGAAAGCGTAAAGACAACACAACTGTACAAATAAAATTACAACAAACAAAAGAAAAAAGATTCCTAAGTGACATCCAACCAACCTACTACTAAGGTCTTTTTTATTCATTTCTTTGGTTTCTTCTGTTTCATATCTGCACTACTTTCGTTACTTGTGTGTGCATTTGATTAACTGTATATAGAAATGAATTTTTGTATTCCAAAGTTTTCTTTGTGATATAAAACAGAGGGATGGCTTTATATTCCCTTATAGATATTACATTTACCGTTGTTTGCTTGTCCTACATATACAAAGAGATACTTCGTAAAGCTTTTTGAAATCTCTGCTTCTACTGACTTGAGAAATCATCAGGGTTTTGTTCGGTGGATATTAAAAACTAGTTGTTGTCAGAGCATGAAGAGAACTGTGTTAATGAGATTCGTTTGATCTGAGTTTCGTATCTTTCAGTTTTCAGATTCAACGCTAGTAATCCGATCCCGAATACTAACGCCGTTTCATTTCGGGATAGAGTCAAAACCCCGTCCTTAATCGGAAACTAGTTTGCTGCAGTAGGATCGCGAGGTATATAACATTGTGGGTACTCGTTGTTGACGAGTTCAAAGTTATGGTAAAATGATTGTCAGAGGACTTGCGTCTTCAGTTGGTTCACCGTATCCAGGCAGTCAATTGAAAGAGGTCTTCGTATTGGATATATAAAAATCAAAATGGGACAAAAAAGGTTATTTACCAAAAATAAATCATATTTCAATTCATGGCATTTATCAAATATGGGAACTTTAATTGCTTATTAGACAAAATGTGCTGGTTATCCGGAGCCTGGTCACGTACGTGATTCACGTGGCAAGTGTATGGTCTTAGGATCTTTTTGACCCCACTAACAAAATAGTCGCACATTTAACTCTGAATTCTTCAGGATAATTACATCATATTTAAGCGCTTTTAAGTAGGAAAATTGTTTACATATTGGACGTATGTTGGAAATTTAAATCAATATCGTTGTTGAGTACTAGGTGATAGTACGATCATCAACGGCTGGTCAAATCAACGCGGAGATATGATAGAGACTGCTACGCTTGGTTGTGAATATATAGTCGTTGCAATTATCTCCTCTCCATACAAGCAAGTTCTATCACCAACCTTAATGTTATCACAAGAGGTCTTTATAGGGGATACGTCTGACTGACACATTACGCCAGTTTGGACAGTAATGTGGATTCGATATATGATCAGGTAGATTAAGCAGTTATATCATGGCGAGTCAACTATACTCTAGCTATAAGATTGTTACATAGATAAGTGCATTGACATCGAACTTTGGCATAAGTTCCATATGTAGATTACATTTTTGGACCATGATATCAAAATTTGGCGGTTCGTCCGGCATATATTTCTTTTACTGTTTTAGCACCGACCTTGGTCTTACACCTAACTATGGTCTTTGATAGTGGTACGTTATACTTACTGGTTCAATCTTTTGTTGACATCATTAATGCCTTAAGTGACTGAGATGCTAACAATAGTTCTGTCTTGAGGTACGGCAGAAGAGGCCCCAAGGATAACATCTTTCCCTGCGACAAAGAAACACGTTTCGGATTTGACTGTAGATTCCTATCGTGACTAATTTGATGAACTTTTGATTTCCATCTTGTTTCAGGAGCCTCCATATATAACATGGTCCTCTTCTTCCTCAAAGCAAAAGTTCTATGACTATTACTGACATACAGATGACGCAATATTGACTGTATATTACCAAGTGTTACGTCAAAATATTACTCTGATCTGTTATTGAGGTGTAGTCGGTTGACACCAACGCAAAATAAAAAGAGGAAACAGTGGTAGATATTGAGGAAAGTCCACAGTGAGACTTGATGCGAATACAGGCAACAGTGTATCGAAATATCACCTTTTTCCTCAACCCGGGGTATACAGTGCATGTTTTCCCGAAATTTACCCTGTGAGAGGAAATGTTTCGAAATTAACACGTTTATCTCCCCCAAAATCTCACGAGGGTAAACACTGAACCCAAATAAAGATAACCAAATGTCATTTCAGATACCAAACATTTATTCGTAAATTACGACTAATCTGTAGTGACCTACTTTTATCAAGAGAACACGATTGGTTTGATGGAAACAGTTATTATTATAACCAATTGTACCACGGGTTGTTTTACTGTACTTGTTTGTTTAACTGTACTAAAGACATTTTTCCTTCTGTTGATTATGACCTTGCACGAGTTCGGTTACGCTCAGTAACCACACTTGTACTCCTTTGGTACGATCTCGGTATTTGGATACCACGAGATCGCCAACAATTACATCTCGACTACAGCCATCAACTGCCTTCTGATATTTGGCCTACGGGAGATCTTATCGGTTAACTGCCACGTAGTCTTCCTGTAGTGGTGATCATCGTCGACCGTGACTCGACCCCACACTACAAATCTACCCACATATATTGTTCTAACAGTGATTCCAACAAACCTTCAGGTTTCAGGGGGGAGAATTCGTGGCTGAGGATGAGCTGAATTCCCATTTGCGTCTTAAACTAAGCAACCAAACAAGAGGAAGCGGGAATGGTTATCCGCACTGTTGCAGTCCATGACGGCGTACGTGTTACATTCGTTGTCATTTTTGCTGGTGCTGTAATCGAACGAAGTATAAATGAATGGTAACTGTTAGGAATTATTCATGGACTATCATGAAATATATTCTAACAGGAAAATTAGTAGGTAACTAGACTACATACATCATTATTCCTTTGTATCACAAGCTTTCATCTGACCTGTTGGATATTGTTACACGATTTAATGTCCTTAAATTATCTCCAATTTATAAGTTACAGTCCCTCGCATTCAGCCAATTTCGGCTTGATCCCGTATAATTGTTATATTCTGTTTTACGATGTGATGCGGTCTGGTCTACATGTATATAAATGAAGATTCATATATCAGGTACTGATGTTTGTGTTCCAGATTAAATGAGCTAGGCCAGGTGAGAAGCAATCACAAAGAAGATCTATAAGGATTCTGAGTTAACTAAAATCTGTTTAACTTGTGATTCGTTTAGAACAGGGACATTAACGAAGAATTCGGTATCTTTACTTGCATACTTACGCCCGTTGCCCATCATGGAGATGCGTAGGCCGCCCATCAGCATTCTCCATCCAACTCTCTCCTACACAATTCTTTCCACTGGCTACTCATTCTTTTAACTTCTGCTTCCAATTAACGATGCAGTGTGTAATTTGATCTTCCTCTTTTTCGTTTCCCTTCAGGATTCCAAGTTAGCGCTTGCTGCGCGATGCAGTTTGATGATATCCACAATGTATGTCCGATCTACTTACAACGTCTTTCCCTGATTTCTTCTCCAGCTGGAAGTCAATTTGCTCTCTCCCCCAGTGGGTTTTTGCTGATGGTACCCGGTCAACGGATATTAAGTATCTTACGTAGAAATTTGTGTATAAGTGCTCGTGCCTTTTTATTAATAGTTGTAGGAGATATAGACGACTGTGACCCTGATAATGGTTGACAGTTGTTTTGAGTTTCAAATGTTCTTCAACTCTGGGAATGCTGCCCTTGTTTTACCGATCCTCGCCTTTACGTCTACATCAGGTCCTACTTGTTCATCTATGGTGCTTCCATGTTTGTAGAAGATTTCACTTCTTACAGAGTTTATTCATCAGGCGTAACTAGTTTTGCGTTTTCTGTGTTGTATTTGAGGATCTTGGTTTTTAACTAGTGTATGCTGAAGCCTTCAAAATATATCTTCGAACTTCTTCACTTCTGACATGCTACTTATAAGATTCTTCTGAGTAACCACTACGAAGAGTTCACTCAACTACAGAATAATCTGTTCAATTGACACTGACGATGTAAAGGGAAGTGTAAATTCAATACTGTTACAGGAAAATCCATGCTAGTAATTCCATGTTGTTAAGAGTGGCCTAAATAGAAAACACAACGCCACTATAATCTTCAATCACAGGCCGTGTCCAATAAAGCAGAAAGGTGGATGACGTGTGTAGTGTTCATTTTAACATGTAAAGTAGCGCAGATACCAATCAACAGGTGGATTTTATCTGGTCATGTTCGATACGATCAATGCAAACAAACAATATTTTCTGAATATAAATGTGAGCGTCACCAAGAAGGAAGAAATACGGTCCTCTATCGTAGTTTCAGTTTCAGTTTGGGAAGGACAGGAGGCCCGGTGGCCTGTGTTAGTCCTGGCAGTGGTGGTCCCTCATTTGATCCAACGTTCTTTTGAAAGGATCGACGGATGGAGTCTCAACCACGTGCTGAGGTAATGAGTTCCACTCGTTGATGATTCGATGGGAAAGTCGATAGTCAGCTGACAAGTAATTTGTTCTCGGCTTGAGAACGTTTTCGGAATGTCCTCATAAATTCTTTGTTTTGGAAGACAAGAAAAATGAGGGCACACCAGGTGCAAATTTGGCACTAAGCAATTTGAAAACTGTAATCAAGTCGCCTCTAGTTCTGCGATAAGACAACGGAAAAAGGTTCAGCTTGGCCAGTCGAACTTCATACGGAAGCTTCGCTATTCCGGGAATCGGCTTAGTTGCCGTTCTCTGAACCTTTTCCAGAAGCTCACTGTCTTTTTTTAAGCAGGGGCCGGTCGCTTGTATGCAGTACTCAAGTTTAGGACGTACGAATACTGTATACAAACTCGAAAACGTCTTAGCGTCGACACGTTTAAAGCCCTACGTATTGACCATAACGTTCTAAAAACTTTGGCGGCTATTGCACGGAAGTGTGTAGTAGTCTTCAAGTCTTGACTAACGATGACTCCTAAGTCATTATATGTCTGGACGACAGGTAGCTCAGTGTTATTCATCGTGTATGTATCTGTACCTTGATGACCGATATGCATCACAACGCACTTGGAAATATTTATCGAAAACTCCCAGGTTTGAGACCATTCAGATAATTTCTTCAGGTCATGTTGGAGTTCTACACACAAGAGGAATAGCACTGGCCCAAAAGCTGTCCTGGGGCACTCCACTAAGCACAGTTTCCCAGCTAGATAATTTTGAGTTCACTCGAACTCTTTGTTTACGCCCAACTAGTAAGTTTTTTATCCACATAAATATATTGCCTCCAATCCCGACATTTCTTAACTTATATAACAGCCGAATGTGCGGAACCTTGTCAAAAGCTTTGCTGAAATCAATGAAGGCTA